GGGGGAGGGCAAGGGGAGATACTTGTCTCCCTGCCTCTTTAAAGGAAGGTAAAAAAGGAAGGAAACGAATGAAAACAGATGAAAGACGGTGAAAATCACCAATTTTCTTGGAAGAAAAACCGAAACTGACCCCTTTCCACAATTAATAGTTTATTGGTTAGCCGGTGGTGAGTGCTTTAATTTGCTCCCTCACCCCTGGAAAAATTCTGGCATTGCCCATGTTTCCACAGCTTGGACTTGAACCCCAATTTTCTGTTGACCAGTATTATAGCTAGATCGTCTTACAACATGTATACTGTGGGAACTCGACCATGAATCTTGCCTGGGGTTTGGGTTGTCAGTTCAATTCAAATGAACAGCAAGTATCTTGAATAAAATTGGTGTTGGTGAGCGGTGTCAATTTACATGGCTGGAGCGGTGTAAATGATGTCGCAGTTTTCCTTAAAATTCTGAATGAGTCGTGTGTGTGTTTTTTGGTAAATACAGTTGCCGACCCATGCAGCAGTAACCCTTGTATTGCTGGCTTCACGTGTGTGGCCACTGGTTCAACCTATACATGTCAACAGGGTAAGTACACTGCCCCATATGCATGTCTTCCTCCTCTATGTGGCCCTGATACAAAAATGCAGATGGTTAATCACATCAGAAGTTATTTGGAGGAACTGAGTTCCTGATCTTTGCAGCCACTCATTGTGTGTTTAATTTTGCACACAGTTAATCCATGCACCAGTAATCCATGTGGTAGTGGGTTTGTGTGCACAGTCTCTGGTTCCAGCTTCAGGTGTCAACAGAGTGAGTTTGCGCCACTTGTTTGAATAATCTCCTCATGCAGCTAGTCAAGGGTCTTGTACAAGGACTGTTACTTTTTTTGCATGCTTCTTTTGATCTATGTTCACATGCAGTAGTTCAAACTAATAGGAGCAGTGTTGTGTGTTGCAAATTCACATGTACATACATGTAAGAAATCTACTCAATTCAGGCTTTCTTGTCAGTGGGCCATCATTGGGTTGTTAGTTTTAATAGGTCAAGACGGTGTCCATGATCTGAGTCACTCGGTTGGAATTGATGTTGTGTGATGGTAGTTGAGTTGGATTCAAGAGTCACATGGTTCGTGTCCTAGTCGTGGGATATCTGGTTTGAGTCCAAGCCATTTGGGCTTGAGCTTGGATCATAAACAACTTGGTTTAAGTCTGGGTCATAAATCACTCTGTGTCAAAGTCTTGAGTCACTTGGTCTAATCTTGGTCATGAGTCTCTTTTTTGAGTCTGACTCATCTCATAAGTCACTTGGTTTGAGTCTAGGTCATGAGTCACTTGGTTTGGGTCAGAGTCATTAAAATCATCAACCAACTGCTTTTGTGCAGTTATCACCACGGTTATCAACAAATCGTTGTGTGCCTGGAAGAAGGTCGTAAGCGATTACAACATTTTGCTGGTAAGCATAATCGCTGCAAAAATGGTTTTCCTGGCAAAAGGATGTATGTATGCAACTGTTTGATTTTAATGAAATATAAAGATTTCTTTGCAAATAGTTCCAAAAACATTTCCCAAGTCGTTTGATAAGTTGTTCAAAGGTTGCTTTTTGCACAGCTTTTGTTGATTTTGTAGTAAATTTTATCCTTTTGCCGGGCACACGATGAAATGAAGATCTTCCAAAAGAGTATTAATGGGTTTGCATATACCTGTACTTAAATATAAGGTGACAGTCTCAATTGGAAATCACTGTCAATGAGTCTCAGTTCAATCCTTTTGACTTAGTCGCTGGAGTTTTGACTCACCAAACTCGTGACTCAAGTAGATACTGAGTTTGTGTCTTGGAATTAACTTATAAAAGTCTGATTTATTGTACTTGAGTGGGAGTTTGGGGGAGGGGGGTTAAAAAACAGGCGCCCCTGTTGACTTGTGGTCTGTCTAGTTTTCCAGCTTCACAGCAGCTGTTGAGTAACATGGAGACTCTGTATGACATCACACTTTCTGCATTACGCATAAAATTTGCTTGGTTATAATGTTCAGAACTGCCCTTCCTATAATTGCACTGCCTATTTTTGCAAATTTTCAAGTTAATGAGCCAAATCTAGACTTGCAAACTTCCATCTGCTGAATTGTGACCATAGAAAAGTGGGCATAAGATCTGGAGAATAACATGTCTGTCAAGTCCTCAGGGACTCTCTGGCCCTGCTTATAGCTCTGTGTTTTGTCTACCCTTCAGCTTGCTTTGTTGTATAACGAGTCCATGCAATTAATTCTCAGTTCACTTTATACTTTACTTCAATGTATGAAATCAATGTGGCATCCTTTATAATTGTGTTGAAAACAGCACTCTTTTGAAACTTTCCAAATTGTCTATGCTTAATTGGATGACTGATGGGGCTGTTGATGTGATGTCATTCTTTTTGTGGTGGGCACAAATCAATGCAACATTGAGGTTTTATGCCATCACAATTTGCTCACGAAAATGGAAGTTACAATTGGCAAAAACATTTAAAGGGCATCAAAAAATTCTATTCAAATAGCAAAACCAAACTTGAAAATATAGTTGACTGAAACACAAAGGTGTGTTTTCAAGGTTTTCAATATTGGATTGCATGGACTCTTTAATATTCCTCTGCCTAGTGTTGCAGTTGCATCCCGTTTTTGTTTACTGTAGATGCCTATTGCTTTCCTTTCTAGCTCCTAATGCCTGTGAGGGTGTAAACTGCAATGGGGGGCTGTGCTTTGCATCATCATCCAATCCAGGCGCATATAGGTGCCAGTGCCCAGTTGGGCAAACAGGGGACCATTGTATGATAAGTGAGTATGCATGACATATGGGTCGATGACCGGGTGTAAGGATAGACTCACCTATCATAGAGGGAAGGGTGCCTTCAATACGACAGCCGCGCAATGATTTTCAATGTGGGAGCCAGTTGTGAGACCATCAGGCATCAGCCATTAATAGGCTGATCCATTGAACCCCACCCCCATTATTGGACCTGCAAACACTGTGTGGGTGGAGGTGGGTGGGGCTGCCAGTTTTCATGACCCAAGATCAGAAAGCTCGGGGTTCAAATCTAGCTAAAGGCATAAGTTGTGGCCTTGGGTTTAAAAGTTACTAATGGCTGTCAATAAATTTGGTGTTTCCTGTACCAGTTCATTCTAAAATTTGATTTTGAAAGGGCAGCCTACTAGTATTAGCAATATGTAGACTTGACAATATTGGTTCTGAAAAGGCTTTTAGTCTGTGTGCTGCCGTTGCACATGAGAAGTTGAACCTGCGTAGTGGACTGTGCTCAAGTTTGGACTAGTAGTTGCAGGCCACTGCCAATTCTTTTTTTGCAAGTCAGTCACAAATCAATTCACGAGTCACAGGGGTTGAAGAATGACAGGGGAATGCCTTTTGCACTTTTTCACTTGAAAAGCTTAACTGATGAGGTTTGTAGTATGTGACGCCGTGTGGGACTAATCTCTTGTGTGAAGAGACTTGGTACTGATCAGAATTCATGGTTGGCTTGGGATTGATATATCGACTAATATGACCTGGTCATCTCCAGGAAGAAGGCAGAGCATTAAAGACGAATACAGTGTACTGTTTGAAATATTGATTCTTAACCACAGTCTCTTATCAGAACCATGTCACAGTAGAGATTACCCCTACACAATAGCTTCAAGTCTTATTTGACATTTGTAGAATTTACCATCAACTCTGCAGCCTGTAATTATGTCTAAAACCTCGGCATGGCTGGCTGATGAATAATTTGCACTGATGCATCCAAGCCATTTGCTACATCTTGCCTCCAGTTCTATGCTCATTTCTCCCTTCAAACCTACAAGTTTGGCTTCCTTTCTGATGATTTCTTATTTTTTCTTAATTTTTTTCCAAATCTGAGTTTTCCTGCCAGCTCTTCCATCACACTTTTTTGCAGCAAGTTTTGCATGAGTTGCTAGTTAGATTGTGAGTCACAACCGTGGGTCATTCATTCTTGTTGAGTTTTTGTTCTTTTTTCACCTTTTTTTTTTCAAACTATGTGTTATGCATGAGGTATGATTGTTGTTTGCAGCGGATGCATGTGCTGGCAGGAACTGCAACGGAGGATTATGTTTCACGTCATCCACCACGCCGGGTGCATACATCTGTAGTTGCCCTCCAGGCTTTGTAGGAACAGACTGTGAAACGGCCGGTGAGTGCACGCGACTGCAGTGGTGCACTTCTCCTGTTTCTGTTGAACATGGATCACAAAAAGAAGACTGACTTGGAGCGATTTTTGTGTGTTTTCCATCCCAACTGCTAATTGTAGGAAAAATAGTTCTTTTCATATGGCAGTGCCGCATTGACATGTGCAAAAAATGTCCAAATTTTGTCACTTTGCTGTCAGAATTTCCTTGGTGGTACAGTGTTGTGTCAGTCCAAGGTGATATGCTCACTAGGAACCCTTTCTCAGAAATGTTTCCAGTGAGCAGATTTTGGGCTCACAATTAGTGCAGGAAAAACCAATAAACAGAACCATGTCTTCCCTGAATACCATCACATCAACAGCATCCTAAATTGGATGTCAACTACATGTAGTTTTCACTTAGAGAATTATAACGTTGCACACAAAGTGTGTCAAGAAAAGCACATTGTGTGGGCCTTCTTTATGTAGAAGAAATAATTAGTTTAAATATGCATGCATTGTTCAGACAATTTTAACACAGGCACAGTTTCTGGGGAAAAGAGTTCAAAGAAGCTTGACTTCTGAATAATTGAAAATAAATTGTGTGTTTACAAATTGTTTGTCATGACAGGAAAATGCAATCGGTTATCCAGGGCTCAGAGTGATTGATGCTACCTAATTTATACCGGTTTTAAACTTGATTCCAACTTACAAACCAAAGGATGTATGAATAATTTGTTTCCATTACTATTGTTTGGTTGTTCATTTTGGTTGGAGTACTTTTCCAATTTATTTGCATCTGTTTGTTTTAATTCATTTTCATTTTGTCTTTGCTTTTGTATTGTTTGTGCAGTCAACCCATGTGACAGCAACCCTTGTGATCCTGGTTACACTTGTTTCAGGTCTGATGCAAACTACTTTTGCCAGTGTCAGTATCTTTTACTTTTTTGCTGTTGTTGATTTCAAGTCTTGAATTAGATGCTGTATGTTTTCTTTGCTTCTTAGAGGCATATCCCCAGTACTGGTTGGTCTTTTAAACTAGTTGTAGAAAGCTAAAGCCTTTTAACACAAGTACATAATCAGTGAAAACTTCATCAATTCAGTTTCATATCCAACCCCAAAGCAATTTTGCTGATATGCACGAAATACATGTAGAAACAAAGCTTGGGATTTGTACAAATAAATACCATAAATATGTTGATTAATAGTAGTTTTGAGGTTGGCAAGAGACACAAGGTTGGCAATATGTTCTATGAGACATTCAACGTTGTAAGTTGTCCCTGCCACCACCTTTAATGGGTGCTAGGAAGGGTCGTCATTTCAGGATTCATGGTGTAGCTTGTCAAGCACTCATTGGACAAGATTCATTTGAAGAATAGGTGACACAATGTGTATATGCTGGCTTGGCTGCATTTGGCAAAGAGTGTCATGCCAGCTTAACTTTCTGTCACTGACTTGGGGAGAGAGGGGGTTAACCACTTCCACCGGGGTGCCCGGTTTCGGGCACCGTGTGTTTATATCCTGAGCCGGAGTACCCAGTTTCGGACAAAAGAGCTGGTCTGTGTAACAAAAGACTGTACTCGGAACAAAGGACCTGCTGCTGGGAATTGCCATCATTTTTCGACTTCCATTTTTCGAAGGTAATCCGGCACTGTTTTGAAACAGTATACCACTGTTTTTGGCAAGCGCGCCCGCGGATTAGCACCGCGGACAAAAGTGCTCCAGGGCCCCATTGGTGAGCGACACAGCGCCGCTGCTCATTAATCCAGCCATGTATGAAAAGACGCTACTGGCATTCACCAGAACAAAGGAAATTATGCAACACCACACAATTCTGGGCGCTCTTTTACAGGGCTGAAGGCTTGGGTTGAATACTCGGACATCAAAGAAGGTTGCCTGACAGATTAGAGTAGCCACCAGAGAGTCATTCATGTGGGTGTAAACATGCAGTAAATGAACACATGAATTGTTGAAGAATTTTGAAAACGTAAAATCTTGAAAAGGTCCCACCATCTCATCCCACTCAAATGAAATCCACCCAGCAGGAAGTGGTTAACTTACACACAGTTTAGGTGGAGACAGGAATGACACCAAAATACTTCGAAGAGTTTTGCTTGTGTGTAACTTCTGTTGCTGTATCCCTTACAGCCCCCTGTTCATCTGGGCCTTGTCAGAATGGAGGTGTTTGTGCCGTGCAAGGCACTGGCATCATCTGCTCCTGCCCAAATGGATACTCTGGACAGTTCTGTCAAACCGAACCAGGTACATGCAGCAAAATATTTTATATTGTGGCACTGTGGTGCTGGTACACATGCTTTTTAACTGCAGTATCAGTCAGTTTATGCTTTTGGAGGTCACAAGACAATTTGTTAGTGCCGTGCACTTTCCTTTGATATCTTGCCATCATGTTGGCACCGAGGTTGTAAAAGTCAGATATGCTGTTCCAGTCAAGTGCCCTAGTTTTGTGGACAAGTTGGTGAAAATTCAACTTTTTCAATTGACTTATCCTTTTGGAGCCAACTTGCTCACGCATGAAAAAGCATGTGATGGTCCAAGTTGTAAATAACAGCTCCCATTCTAGCTAGCAATATTGAAAGTCTCTTCAGATCACTAGACCTTTTTGAAATAACAAAATTTGCATTTTGTCAGTTTGATTTCAAAGGAGATTCTGACGGTGCCAGGCACTGAGACATGCTGAGGAGAGACCCTTTTGTCTGAAAAGTAGCACAAATTCATCTTCAATCACCTGTGTTTACTGGCGCATATCTCAGGATCAACAAAAGCAAATAAGATGAAATTAACAGCATCATTTAGCCAGAAGTGTTCTCTTTAAAAGTGTACATGTACAGTTTGCGGTATCACCAGTTGACATGCTGAAAAGGGATGGTTTTTGCTTGCTCCATTTTTCGGGGACACATGTACACCGTGTGCCCTCATTCATAGTCTACATTTTCTGTTTGCAGATGCCTGTTTCACTTCGCCGTGCCTGAACGGTGGGACGTGTCGGCTAAGTGCTTCAGGGGGCTTTATTTGCACCTGCTTAAGTGGCTACCAAGGCACTCAGTGTGAGAGATTGGTTGGTGAGTGTGAACTTTGACTCTATTGAACCCCCCCACCTCAAGTCTGTAAAGATAATGCACAACATTTTAAAAGGTTAACACAAAACACAAAAATTAAAACTGTTTATCAAAGTGGCGGGCAAACCTTTACACATAATTGGACTGAAAGTGTTTAATTACAAATTGAAGACGATGATGATTCATGGTAACCATTCTCTTTCTAGAGCTGATCAGCCAGTACATTCACATCATTTCTTGGACCTTAAAAGTTTTAAATTACAGAACATATGTACATATGTTGTGATTGATAAGCATAGAAGTGGAATGATTGGCAGGATTGGATCTGCTCATTTCATTCCATCATAGCAACTGCTGTGTTCAAAAACTTTACAAAATGTCTTAAGCCCTTATCTCACTGGGCTGCGACAGCTTGTGACTTGTTGGAAACACAAAAATGCGACAAAATCTGTAAATCTAGCAACAATTTTAACTTGGAATCACACAGATTTGGTACTTACGACACATTTATGTATGTCGCACAAGCTCCTGGTGAAATTTTGGCCAGAATTCGCCGGAGTTTACATACTTGCCGTGTGACTGTAGCATGACATTTGTGCAACAAAATTGTGAATATTTTACACTTGTGCCAGTCTTACACCTTGAATGTCAGATTCTCATTTTTGTCTTCAACCAGTCACAGTTTTGTTTCATAGGTCACCAACCCCTCACAAAGTTGTCTCATATGCCTCACACTTTCTGACTCACAGAAACTAAATTGAGAAGGGTTTGAGACGGGTTTGAGACACCCGCCATGACTCTGTGACTATTTTGAGAGAAAATTTATCACACAGATTTTTTGAACGTGCTCAGTATTTTTACCGTGAATTTCACTTCAAATTATCCATGTTTGCCAGGACAAGTGAATGTGCTGTTGCTGTGAAGTCATCTAGGGGACACACAGTTCATCACATAGGGTCTTCTATTGAATTGAGAACCCAAAATTTAATTACTGAAAACATTTCTGAGAAAAGTGTTGGTGCTCACTTATGACATACATTTCTATAACAATAAATCAGCAAAGATGAGAAAATTTAGTCCAGCAAAATCTACAAAAAGGCCTGACTTAAACCAATGTAATACTTGGTTTTTTTTCTTGAGATGACATTGTAGTTTTTTCATGAATATGGAAATATTCATTGGCATAATAACTTAACAGGGTTAAAATACATTTTGAAATAGTGAAACCAAAGTTGGAGTAAGGTTGAGACACAAAGGTGCATTTTGAAGGTTTAAATTGAAACAAAAATGATTGTAGCTATACCCTCTGATATCTTCTATAGGCAGTAGAACTTTGCACAAAGAATTCTTAGTAAAGTAATAATAAATGCTTTTTTACCTCATTAAGTTTCAAAGAAGGATCAATTTTCTTATTTGGGTTTTGATACATATGTAGCTGCTTCAGATTTCTTTTTAACAGTTTTGTGCTGATAGCCAGCCATAGTACCACCTTCTAGTCTTCAGTACTTGTCTGGAAGGGGGCAAATGGAATTCTTTTCCCAAAGACAACTGTGGATTTTTCACACGTACAATCTTACACCCCCTACCCAATCAAGGTGGTTGTACCAAGCTTAAAATGCTTTTGCTAATTTCCATTAAGAAAATTGGCAACATGTCTGGGGGGTAAGTTTCTCCCCACCCCCTCAGATATGTCACTGACTGGTAGGCAAAAAGTGGGTTTTAAGGGTTTCAGTATTCATTCTTCTGGGCTGGTTCCGCATTTTAGGCCATCTCCCAATATATAGCTACTGGTTGGCAGCGGTTGTTATTGGCAGTATGCATGTGGAGTAAATCTGTCCGGAAATTGTCTGTCCTTTTAGACTAACATTTTCTTGCCTTGGTGACATTACCGACACAACAAAGCTTGAAGCAGTATCTGGTCCGAGTCGTTTTATTGTTTGTAGCTTAATTCTTTTAGTTTTGACTTCCATTTTTTTCGGTTTGATCTTTGCCATTTAGTTTAGTCGTAATTTTGTTGCAATCAGCACAGTCTCTTCTGACAGACTTTCCAGCTCCATGGTTGTAAACGGACTGGAAAAATCACCACATTGGATCGAATTTATATTCACGATTTTGTACACACTAAACTCAAGTATGGCAACAACTTTAGTGCGAATGTCAGGATCTCCACAGTGGGTGCTGTCTTGACTAGAATTTGGCTAGTGGACCAGCATTAAGGTCAAATCCTGGTTTGAATCTCAGTTGATTTGTTATACGTAAACTAGTTTTCTCTAATTTAAGAACACATTGTCATAAAACGTACTAGTTGTATTTGCGTTGGCTGAAAAATTGATTACTCACTGGATTATTTTCTGTGCCTGTCTCAGAAGTTTTAGAGCGATCTGAACCTGGATAAACATGACAAGGAAAAGTGTCACTGGTGCAGTGTTTTCCTTGACCCTTTAAATCCTAATCAAAAGCTTTATCTTTGAAAATAAGTGTGTGATATCTCATACATATAAGGTAAATTATGGACCACATTCCCCTGGCATTCAAGATTTAGTTAAACTTTACATTTTTAGAGTTAAGTTTTCACTGGAGTTGTGACTTTTCTTCCTCTCTGTAGATCAATGCGCCATTAGTTCACCGTGCATGAATGGGGGGATTTGCACTCCGATTGGTAACAGCTATGTATGCCAATGTACCACCGGCTACACAGGCACCAACTGCCAAACTGGTATTGTACATTATATTTCTTTCCGTGCAAGCTTGAATAAAAATATGGTCACAAGAGGCCTCCCCTATTTTTGTGTGTGTGTTTTGGAGGTTTTTAAGAATGCCTGCACACAGACATTCACAATTTTTGTGTTTTGCATGAAATGGCAGTGAAATGGTTGCGTCATTGAATGTTTGTCCATTCATTTTGCCCCTTTGTGTGTCTGTTTTAATTCAAATGTTCCATCAGCAACTGCATGTGTGTCACAGCCCTGCCAGAACGGGGGAGTTTGTTTTGAGCTGAATTCCGAGCAGACGTCCGGCTTCTTCTGTAACTGTCAGTCTACTGGATTCATGGGAGTGACATGTGCTGATCCTGGTAAATTGACCCAACTCTTTCCAGCTCCTTCAGTACATCCTTAAGTAGCGTTCCATTGCAGGAAAAGAAGAGTCATCCCTTTGAAACGTGTTAATTGTGCATGCTGCCCTCAACGGGTGTGCACAGAGCAGATAGTCTTGGGTCTGTGTTAGGGTTCCTGAATCCTTTGCAATAGATTTGACTGCGGAGTGGATCAGGAATACCATTTGCTGGGGGCCAGGGATGGGGCAGGGTAACCGTTGATTTATTCAATGTGTCCTTTTTAATGTTTTCATTTGGTGGGGGGATAAACCATGCCCCCGTCGGCTATTTCTTGAAAGAATGTTCCCAAATTGTCCAAACTTAAATACAGTGTAGTATTGCTAAAGACACATTTTCTGAATTCTAAAAAAGTCGGATATCAACCTCCACATACAGCAGGTGTGTATGGCCAGCACAGTCTATAATATCACAAAACCAGTCATTTTAACAGACCTATTTCAGTCACTTCATTCTCACCACCAAGTAGAATCAACGGGTGCCATGAGGGCAGAAAGAATTGTTTTTGGTTCATGAACTTAAAGTGGTTGCACCAACAGTTGTGTATTCCCAGTCAGTTGATGTGGTTCATAACATCGTTTCTGGGTCCAGGAAATTGGATAACATGGTGTAAAACACATAGAGAGTCGCCATCACTGGAATGTGCTATATACGAAAATAAGTATGTCAATTTTTTAAATTCTTGCAAAGTGTTGAAACCAGTTTTCACACAGTGTAGATAGTTTGCTTGTAACTATCCCCCCCCTTCCGAAAAAATTTCAGATCTGTAACCCCATACAGTTGGTCAGTTCTAGGAAAAAGTGGAGATTTGGTCATGCTGGTCCCATCTGATTATTGATCATTACTGACAAACTGAAGGAAGTTTTACCCAAAAAATGAAAGTGGAATTTAAGTTAAAAGTGAGTACCCTATTTCCTCTCGTTTCTCTGAAAACCTCCTTTTTGTTTAAGAATTATCTTTAATGATAAGGTTTGGCATAACCAAATTTCCTCTTTTGCATTGAATAACTCATTTGTCACTTCTCTTTCCTTTTTTTTCTGTTACCCTCCATGTAATATTAACCAGGAATGATTTTATTCTCTTTTCAGAGGTGTCACCCTGTGTCTCTAATCCATGTTTGAACAGTGGTACATGTCAAACCGTTGGGTCTAGTTATCAGTGTCAATGTACAGCCAATTACTCTGGCACAAGGTGTGAGAGGTATATAGGTAAGTTCAGTGACAAAAATGTCCCCCCTTCTCTGTTTAGGGGTTGTATTTCAATCTTTTGTCCAGCCTGTTATGGGGGACCAGAGTAAGATCTTTCCTGAATCAAGCATTTGTAGTCCACGTGTCTGGGTTTGGATGCTAATATACTATAGTAAACAACTATTAAGCTGGCTGGCCATGCCTATTTCAGACATGACCAGATTTTAGCATAGATACCATTAAAGCCGTCCTTTACAAAGTTGGGCTTTCAAACAAATGCCGGCCCTTGTTCAAGATTGTGCAACTTTTTATTGCATTGTCTCTTTTATGAAACTCCCAGGCAGAGTTGCTTGCATGTATTTGCTGCGATATAATGACTGGCCATTGTCCATGACCTCTTGATGGCTCCTGGCATGCTCAACATATGTGGACTCCTATAGAATCACTCAAGTGTGGGACAAGTAAACAATTTATTTCCAAAATGCGATTAGCGCCATTTTGGTATCTTTCAGAGTCCTACCGTCTTTCAGTTGCCTGCAGTCAGCTTCTACAGCTTTAACACAGCTTAGCACAACTTTCATGAGTCAAAGTAGTGAAGAAAGAGGTTTAGAGACTCATGGTACACTGCTATAGCTCTTCAGGTTTTCATATTTGTGGGAAAATTCCATGTTTTTCAAATGGATATACATGTATCTCATTTGGAATAAACCCTTCAAGTGTAGATGTCACCAGCATTGAATACAAAGGGGGCCATACAGGAAACATACAGGAAATTCTTGTGTCTTTATATGTTGTCCCATATGGGAAGTCAACACAAACTTGAACTATGTTTCCATGTTCAGGTCCAAGCCTGGCTTGCAACAGCAACCCTTGTCAGAACTCGGGGAATTGTGTAGCCACCTCCAATGGCTACACCTGCAGCTGCCCAGCGGGGTATACAGGACAGCAATGCCAACTTGGTAAATAAAAGAGATTCAAACTGAACAGTTGATTAGCAGTAAATCAGACCACACCATTTCCTTCAGGTTCAGTGTTCTTTAAGCTGAAGGGTCCAACCTGAATCATTTGGACCAAACCGGAAGTGACCTTGATCTTGCCAACCAGAAAGTTGACTTGATTTTGACCCCAATTCATTTTGACCTGACACAGATTTTGTTAAATTGAAGCCTGTGTAGTTTAAGCTGCATACCAAATCAGTCTTGACCCTACCAGTGTCTTGATAGTACCTGAGCCAGGTCGGCTTGACTGTAGACCTTTCAACCAGTGAATCTGAATTCTCTCAGGCTGTAAACTGACCCACAGTGACATTATTTTAATATTGCCCTAACATCGCCTGCTGTCACCTGCTTAACCCAACTATGTTCTGCCTTGACTAAAAATCATATTTGAATGAATTCTACCTGTGTCTTGACCTGGCCACATCCAAGTCTGACTTCATTTATTTCAAAATGGTATTTATCAGTAAGATTTTTTTGTATGGTGTCTTTAATGGAAAATGCACTTCAGCAACTCAAATTAGATCGTTAAATCTAGCTGTAATCTGCTTTGACCCAGATATTGAAAATTCTGGTCAAATTTGAACATTCAAATTCATCATATTTAATTTGATCCAACACAGTTCTGTTGAGCTGAGTCAGCTTTGACCCACTCCTGATTGTCCATCTCCTTCCATATGTCTGGTTTCAATTTCCCAGGACAGTGCAGTCCGTCCCCATGCCAGAATGGTGGGATATGTTTTCTCCGTGCTGGTGACACTGACTTCTTCTGCAACTGCCCTTCTGCCTACACAGGAGTCTACTGCGGGGAGCCTGGTAAAGCAGATAGTCCTTGCTATGTCACTCTTTCCTTGTCATCTCTTGTGCACCAGTTTTGCTTGATGCAATAAGTAACAACTCCTCGCTTTCCTTTTCTGCACACATTTTGGTTGGAGTAAGGGGATATAAATGTTGATAAATATTCATATGTTGGGTTATGTGGATAGTCTAATGATTTGATAATACTGAGAAATTATGCATTTTTAATTCAATGTTGTAGCTGTCCATGAAAAGTCCAGTTACAAGCAATTTGCACAAATTGTTGCCCTTTTCACAAGGGAGGAAATCGACCCCAAATAAGATATCTTTCAAACTCCTGTTTTTTTTGCAAAATTAACCAGTTTATCTAATGCCGACAATGAATACCGACAATTGATGAAGTCACTTTGACCAAGTCTCTTTAACTCAGCTAAATTACAGTGATCTCTGTCGGACAGAAATCAATCATATTTGTAATTTTTAAGAAGGAACAATTTCATTCTCTAACGAGATTACATGAAAGCAGTGGGGGCAAAATTCACCCTGCCTGAGTTTTTTAAAGTTTCACAAGTTGAAGGTAGCAATTCCACACCTGACATGTGCAGTAGCAACAGCAAGGTCATTGGTGATACCGCTTTCCTGCCCTTAATTTAAAAGGGATGAAGTTCAACAGAAAAAAATCTTTAAACATGTTCAAACTAACCGTGTGACAGTACAATTTCTGACATTTGATAGCAGTTCAAGATTCATATATGTATACACATATGTGCTTTTTCAAGCAGTATTATTCTGGTGAAAACACATGCTTGAATTGTCTCAGAAGTAGAGTTCATTATGTGCTTCTGTGTTCCTGATTTATTTTCTTTTCACTGATTTACCGTCTGTTGTTTTTAGAGCATTTCTTTTTATTTCTACGGCTTTAATACTTTCTGTGGATGAAGTACGGTTTTGTGGGTTGGCGAAATATATGTAACCCTGAATCAATAAAAAATCGAGAACCGTAGATTTAAAAAGGGATGGTCTTTAGATAATTTCCACGTATTGATTTTAACCCCTCCCTGCATGCTTACAATTTTATTTCCCCCCCCCCCGGGTGTTGACCTTCCCTTCTCACCCATTGTAGTCAACCCCTGTGATGCCAACCCTTGCATGAATGGTGCCACTTGTTTTGTCTTGTTTGGTGGGTCAAGTTATTACTGCAACTGCCCACCGAGTTTCACCGGCATGGAATGCCAGTCCCCGGCAGGTAATGCGTTTTTCTTGTCAACCAGCGTAAATGCGAGCGTTCTGCCAGTGCCAGGGATATGCTCAATATCTGCTCAATTGTAGCAAATGACGTTAAGGGGAAACATCGCAAGGCCGACCGTCTACTGCCTTACAAGGCAAAACTGTATGCAGGTTGTCAAGTTTTACTACTCTGTGGTATCGTTCCTGTGCAGTGCATGCCTTCAATTGGGTATACATATCGCAAAGCGTAGATGTACAAAGAATTGAAGACCAAAAATATTTCATTGAGAGACATCAGGACTTGTTTGCAACTTTACTTGCCAAGAAGCGTGAATGTATTTGCAGCCTGTCGTATTTTTTTTCTTGAATGTTTATCTTCAAATCTTTTGTGGATGTCAATTTATTTTTGATAATTCATTTACATAACCAATTAAAAACTCTTAACAGTTTTAAAAAATTTAAGTTGTTTTATTTTTGTTGACTGAAACCTGATTTAAAACCATTAAATCACCACACCTGTAACAAAAATTATTACATGTATTTTTAACATTGATCTGTATTAATAAATTTGCAACAAGAGAAACGTTGGCCCCTGATGGAGAATGAACAGTTTCATCTTTCTAATTGAATTAAGAATGACTTGTGCTCACTTTGTAGGGTCAAGTTTGAGAAATAATTTTGTAGGGAATTGATGGTGCACTTCAGGTAAGTATAAAGTCTGGTAGTCTCTGAGGATGAACATAGTTGTTGGGTTAAACTAGTACTACAAACAACTCATGGGCATATCAATAGGTCTGTGCCAGTAAGTGCGTTAGCCAGCAGGGGTAATTTTCAGCATGCTTGTACCTCAGGCTAAGGCCGTCTTGTTCATTCTCTGATTGCAGACCCATGTCAGCCTAACCCATGCCAGAACAGCGGTGTCTGCAGCATCAGTGGCAATAGATTTTCATGTCAGTGCCCGACTGGCTTCAGCGGTCCAACCTGTGAAATCCGGGGTATGGAAACACCCCAAGAATTTCTTCTATAATTGGAATAAAACAATATTATATGAGCATGAAGGCAGTGGGATGTGGAACTCCGTGAAATACACACGTAGACTAGAAGGGGGGAACATTGAGTATCCTACGTGGGGCGCGTTGCCTAGTGTTTAGCACTTGTAACTTTCAATTGCACAGGCAGAGTTTGAACCCTGCAGTGGGGCATACATTGTGACTGCAGGGAGATATCTTCCCCACTACTTTGCCTCTCTCCACCTGGGAGTGTAAATAGGTACATGTACCTTAGTAGGGAAGAGAGGGTCATTTGTCAGTTTGTGGTTGGATAACCTTGTATCACCTGAAATGGCCTCACTGATGGTTGTACACTCGCCCGCCGGGGGAGTTGAGATGGGTTCTATGATTATTTCTGGTCCGGTGGGAAAGGATAACATGGTGAATATTGCCTGGTACCGGAATGCACTGTATGGTTATGTCCTATTATGATGCCTGCCACGGGGGAGGGGGTGCAGATGACGGTTCTCCCTCTCCCTAGCTGAGCAGATGGGCCCCCTCCGGCAAAAACCATAGGCATTACAATTATCAATATTTGTGATATATGCCCCCTCCCCTAAGCTGGGATTGTGCCCCCCAAGCTTGAAGCTGGTGACAGTACTGCATATTACCCATCTCTGTCTAGGGCCAAAAGACAAGCAACTTAAAAGTTACTCTGGTCAGAATGTATTTTATAACAACGGACCATGGGAATCATTTTCTCAGTTAGGATATGATTTTTCCTGAAGACTTCCAAGTTTTGTGAAATCTTCTGCTGGATGCTGACATGGGTCAGTAAATATTTGTTTTGCTGGTTTGCTTGCTTTCCAGACCCTTGTGCGAACAACCCCTGCCGGAATGGAGGCACTTGCAGCAGTGGCTCAGATCTTTCATTCACTTGCCAGTGTCCTCTTTACTATTCCGGGATCTACTGTGAAGTTTACACCCCACCAGGTAACTTGCTCATCAAGACAAGGTGCCGGATTTTGTAGGATTGTTTCAATAAGTCAGTTGAGTTTTCCAATCAGTCAGTAAAGTTTTGCATTGTGCACAGATAACTTTGTTGAACATACGTGTGTGATATGAAGAGTGGGATCTGGACAGGAACCCTAGAGCGTATTGACACAGCAATCACGCAGGCCATGGATTGGAGCCAGTCTTGAAGAATGGTTTGATTGCACAATTTCCTGTGGACGTTGAAAACTAACCATTTGTTGATCAGACAGACAAAATCGTCATCAGCAGCTACTTAGGATCGTATGTAATCTATTTGATGGGTTTGGTTTCTGGAATGTTCATAGGCAGAAATGAATGGTCCCGAATTACATTATTTTGAGAGTGCATTGTAATAACTGCCTTTGTTTTTGGTTATTCTGTAAACACTTGTGGTTTAACATTGAGTATGACATCGTTGACAAAGGGTCTTTACTTGACAATATCTCTTGTCACTCTGCAAAAACATGTTGTCCAATTTGTGATCAGTGGCACTCATTGTTTGTCCCTACAGTCATGCCATGCGACCCCAACCCGTGTTTCTCCCAGGGAACCTGCATTCCCATTGGCACCACAGGCTACCGATGTAGCTGCCCAGAGGACTACAGTGGCATTCGCTGCGAAATATACACCCGTAAGTGCACGGTACCGGCACCGTGGTTTTGGGGACTATACACAAGTGTTGAACATTATACAGGGAAGAAAAAATTAGGGAGACAAAAGTTCCATTCCCACAATGGAAATTCTAGAAGTCTTGAAATTCCAAAGAAGAAATTGGCTCCTCATCAGCACAGTTACTGTTAATGTCTTTGTCGTTCAATCTCATGATGCATTGCAAATGTCACAAAGGTTTATTATAAACAGCTGTTGAAATGGATAATTGATTGTACATTTTTAGGAGTAGATTTCCGAGTGTTGTTCACTCAATTTGTGTGTTTGGTTTACAGCACCCAATCCCTGCAACTCCAATCCTTGTGGTGCTAACGGCAATTGCAACAGCGCTGTCACCAGCTTTACCTGTCAGTGTCGGAATGGTTACACCGGCCAGTTCTGCACCACACGTAAGTAACGAAGCAATATGTGCACAGGGCCCCATGTTGGTGAAATAATCCCAGTGAAGGGTTCAGGTCGTGGAGTTTACTCAGACACACAGTTTGTGCAAGTTTGTACTCGTCGACCACATATAAAAACACTATGGCATCGGTTTTGGGTCACATGTTTTAAGAAATACCCTTTTTGACATTTGAAGTTGTCTGCATCCGGGATAACAAAGGGTGCTGTTGCTGTGATATTGGTCTCTTAATGTGTTCTCATTTAGTGGGTTCTTGTGGTGTACTTACCCAACAATGAATCACCAATTTCATGGCACCACTAAGCACATGCTTTTATGATAACAGATGTGCTCTCTGTTTCATGAAGTCCATAAGCAGTGAGCACTGTAAAAAGGCACCTTACCTCGGAGGAAAACTTTGCTTAAGGTTGTGACAAAATAATGGAATCTCTATGGGTGAAGCACATACTTGTACATTCTTTCTAAGAAGTCATCATACAGTTGCATTTTTGCGTAGTATATCTTCTGAGGGTTTTTGGTATTCAGCTTGGAGATCTGCATCAGAAATGGAGCCCTCATTCAACCGCGATATGACTCTCTCAAAATCAACACATATTGGAGTGACATTTTGCCAGAAACAGGGTGCTTGGGCTGTTAGATTTTGTGACCAAATCATCAGGGTGCCTGTTAATGGGGCTTAGCGATCCATATGTGAACATCAGTTTGCAGCCACTTGTGCATAGTTACACAACTAGTAATTTTCACCAGAATGTGCATAAACCTTTAACATCTCTTTATCTGGTGCACGGAAGTTGTAGCATATTTGACCATCTGTATTATCTCAACATTCATGAGGTCCTTGTTTGCAGAGTTCATACAGTATCATGGTTGCTCAGTAAAAGGTACCCTTTTTTTGCCCTTCCCATGGGGCCTCGCCACATTTGAAAATGGACAAACAAAATGGTAAGGGTAATTTGATTTTCTAACATACTTCATTTCAATTCTCCCTCAGCTCCAGATCCATGCACATCCCTGCCGTGTCGTAACGGGGGCCAGTGTACACCTCTCGGGACATTATACTCATGCAACTGCTCCAACACCATCTACACAGGAGCCAACTGTGAAATCCGTATGCATATGCTGCCTGATAGTGGTTTCACTTCTATATTTTAATAATGAACATGAACAATATGAGTAATCCAATGTGAGAAGTCTATGCTTGTAACTAGTTGCAAATGGAATTATTCCATTATGAGCTTGTCCTGGGCATAGGTAATATTTGTGGCCCAGAATACTGACTTCTTAAAAGGACAAGAGGACAGATTAAGTCAAAAGAAGCACTTGAATAGTATTTACGTGATATTTCTTCTGCAATGCATTTGTTATAACACCGTGGCAAGGCCCTCAGTGTGATATTTACTACCACAATAGGCCTTGCACAGCGGCCATGTATACTTCTTGTACTTTTGTGTGTACTAAAGCAACGGGAGGATTAACATGGCCAGACGTCAGCTGGAGGTGATTTGAGGCACGCTTGTGATGTTTATACACATCAGCCATGCCTGTGTATTCAGGCAGCCAGATTGTGTCCCCACATCCCGGGTCAAAGTGACAAACATCGGTCATTGTCAGCAGAGTTAAAATGCATAGACTGATAAATCCTGCCAGTCGGAAGCTCCAAATGTGATAATACAGTCTGGGTATTCTTAGGAGGGGGCGTGTGCCACTATATCTCGATCTCATTTAGCTGTAATTCGTTTTGCATATTTTATGTTTATTTCCAGCTCCCAATCCTTGCTCATCCCAACCCTGTCTTAATGGCGGCGAGTGCATCAATCGCATCACCAGCTACGAGTGTAACTGTGTGGTTGGCGGATACTCTGGAGCAAACTGTCAAATCCGTAAGTTTGGAACTGAAATTAGCTATTCCATGTATAAATCCAGTCGTGCCATTTCTATAAATATGTTTTATGCATGGAAAGGAAAGGTCCAATCATAGAACTGTTGGAGGTTGGAGCATTGTTCATTTAGTACAGATCAAGGAAAGAGGGATACAGAAAACAGTATTATTTCCCACTGAAAATACCGACTTCTTAGTAAAATGACAGGGGACCACATCTACAATCTCTCACAAAGTTGAACTTCACAAGTGTTAACCTTTGGAGGTCATTTTTTGTGCTTTGTCAATTTTTGGAACCCTCGGATGATGTCACAGAGCAACATTTGCTAAAACTACACTAAACCTCAAAAGACCAGTTCAAGCCTCTGCGTTTGTACACACTCGCTGGGATTCATTTAATCATGGGGATGGGTATAACGTCTCCCAGTACTTTACACAGAATTTACCAGGACTTTTTTGAAACATCCCATGGCTATGACACAGGAAATGTCTATGTTTCTACACTGCATCTGGCATGAAGTGGTTACCTTTTAGAATTTCATATTACACCATTTTACGAAATTAAAAGAGTTTTTATGGAGAAATCTCTGAGAGAGCTAAAGCTCCAATTAGTCATTTGTGACTACGGATTTGATTTTTGCCAGTACAATGCTAAAGGGAACAGCCATAGTCGTAGACAGTAATGTCCATTCTGGACATAGCCTGAAAACCACTTTTCAAACCTCATGTCCAAAAGTCTGGTTTCTCACACATGCAAAACCCTTCTGGTTTTTGTTACATGCACGAACTCTTTCTAATTTCAACTCTACGTTTTGAATTTTTTTCAGCACCCAATCCCTGCGCAAACCTTTTCTGTCTTAATGGGGGTGTTTGCGTGAGTGGCGCATGTGATTGTTCCAACACAGGTTACAGTGGAACAACCTGTAATGTATGTAAGTGGCACCCTTCAGTTTGATTTCTGAACTGTACTTTAACCATTTAGCTTGAGAACATGGACATTGGATGGTAACACACGGACGTAAGATTACATTAAGATATTAAGGAAAGAAGCATAGAAAGAGTATTCAGCAGAATACTTCTCAAGTACTTGTAACCTAAAAACTTAATTTTTTAAACTGCTGTGATCGTCTGGGATCAAGACTTAATTTTGTTATTTTACCTTTGGAGTAGTTACAATCCAATGTCCACATTCCCCAGATTTGTTCAAACCCATCCAGGGTTGGTAATGTTTTATATCTTTTAAAGAAATAAAAATTCAGATGTTTTATTTTATAAATCAGATTTTTATTAAAATTAGATTTTATTTGAATCGTGATTTAAATCGATTATTCAAATCGAGGTGATTTAAATCAGCCAAGCTTGTACCTAACCAGTTTTACTAAACATCAGTGCTTGGTAAATGCTCAAATTCAAAGCTGAAGATGTGGCATAAAGTATTAAAAACTTAACATTTCTATTACCATTCCAAGTAATTTTGGAAAATTTTAAGTCTGGCAATTTTTAAGAAATTCTATTGGAATCTGCCAATATACCTCCTTAGTGTTGGCGAAGGCAGGTCCAAGGGGGTCAACAGGGCTATATCCCATCCCCCGGGTACTTTTTTGGCTTTGCGGTAATTTGCAGGATTGTTTCATCTCTCTTTATTTTTATTTGCAAAGGGTGTGAAAATTGCAGAAAGGCTAGAAAAGGTTACCTACAGAAATTCTCAGATTTTTTGCTGTTCCTCCCCCCCATACAAATTGGGCTGCTGCCAGCCCTGAAGATGTGGTTCTGGATATGCCATGGAAAGGAAAGAGATTAGGTCATCATTGGAATAACACTGCATTATTGCCGTTGATCTTTGCTTGAAGGGGCCTGTAACAAGTACTATTAGTAATCCTTTCCTGTTTTAATTTTCACAACTTTTTTCATTCATTGCCAAATTGCTCAAGAGTGCCTTCCTTTTTGTTTTCCAGTGATGGATGCTTGTTTCTCCAATCCGTGCACCAACAATGCCACCTGTGTCAACTTTGTGTCATACTTCCGTTGTGAATGCCGACCAGAAAACCTTGGCACATACTGTGAATTTTGTAAGCTTTGAGTTCACTTGTAATCTTTAACCTCCCTCCAACTTCCCACCGTGCTAAATTCTCCTGTTACATAATTTTTTCCAAAGCCAAAAGGTTGGGATTGAGAAATCCTGACTTCAGATGTAATTTTTCAGTAATAGTAACATCAAATCAAACTACATACTTTGAATTTGCAACGTTATCACAAACAGCATTTTTAAAACCCTGCTGTTTGTCCAAAAATCTGACTTATTTCCATTATCCACTATTTTTCCAAGTTGTTAGCCCTTGAACTTTTGTTTTCACATATTGCCAAAATGACAACAAATAGTTGACTGGTTGAACCAATATTTCTATGCTTCCCCTCCCCCCTTGCAGATAACAACCCATGCTTGGCCACACCCCCTCCATGCAGGAATGGTGGACAGTGCATTGATCTTGGTGGCTATATGTACACATGTAATTGTCCTGCTGGCTACACAGGAGATTCATGCGAAACAAGTGAGACCAGTTTTTGAAGTTATTCTGTTTTAAGTCACATTTTGGAATGAATAAAATTGTACATTTGAATCAGGTTGACATGATGTTGAATCTGAGTGGGTGATGACTACCAGTAGCGAAATGTGCTGCAGAATTTTGAAATGAAAAAAAATGGGATTCAGTGTTGTGACACCGGAGCAGCTTCAAATATGATACTGATGAGGAAAAGGTGTCGCTCATTCCTCTGAGTCAAAGTGTGGAACATTGCAAAAAAATGAGGTAGTTTGTTCTCTACAGAGTGTTTCCTACCTAAACCATCGGTATGTATTTCCACGGATCAATTTGTTTGGTGAATTTAAACAGGGAGAAGTGCCATCAATCACTTTACCTTTTTTTACAAAAATAACTGCAAAGTGTTTAATCCATAGATCTTTGCATTAATGAATGCTCTTTGCAAGGAAGTATGTAATTCAAAAAAATTTAAAACAATTTTGACACGGCAGGGTTTTTTTTCACACCAACATGTTTGTAAAACCGTGTGGAAAAACTATAAATATCAAGTCTTTGATTGTAGTGATTGTCAATGAAATGAGGCTGGCAACATGGGCAGAGATCCCAGGGGGGATGGGGGATATATTCCCCCTCTACTTGTTGACCTGGGGGGATTACTTGTATAATCAGCCCCCCCCCACCTCTTTTCAAGTCACTGACATTATGCACACCTGTAGCTTCTCCCTAATTGGAGTTGGACCTTGGACCCTGTGCTGTGTCACACTCTGCAAAAAGACAACCTTTCAGTAATCATCCTTAATCTCCGCCCATGGTTGGCATGGTGGTGGTTTCCTGGCCTTCGTTCTCTGCGACCTGAGGTTTGAATTCCGTCTGGGTTGGTATGTGGATAAAGGTTTCAGTCTCTACCCATTGCTGCAAAACATAGTGGGAAATGGCCAACAAAATTCTATTCCGAGGCTACATACATGGAACTTTAATCATTCCTGATGTTTTGTTTTTCCCAGATTAAAAATTCCTATTAAGTGTATTTTGAAAACACTTTAATGAATCCCTTCTTTCCATTGCACGGAATATCCAAATCTGTCACAAAATTCCTGAAGTTGTCAAACTAACAGTGGCTCAAGTGCAAATCGCAGAAAGTCGGCCATTATTCGATGGACCATATACACAAAATTGCCTCTTGGTGGTATCCTACACCATATTGTGATTTACCTGCATTGGCACTCATGCTGTTGGATGAACACAAAATGAAATGAAAAAGTTTTTGAAAAGAAATTTGTCTGCCTTGTTTTAGGAGTGGATTACTGCAGCAGTGGTCCCTGCCAGAACGGCGCAACGTGCCACACCCTGACAGACAGCTACCGGTGTAATTGCAGGACAGGTTATGGGGGAATCACGTGCAGTGAAGGTGAATGAGCGAGTGTGGCGTTTGGCAAAGAGCTATATCTAATGATAAGATTGTATGTGTGCAAAATCTATGGAGAACTCAAAATTTTGTGCAGCCTTTGTATGGCTTGTTTCATATCTACATCTGTATTCTGAAACTATTAACAAAGATGTAAAAGTACAATCAGTAAATAATCAGTAAATGAGCATTTGGTATTGATCAATGTAGCAACTGAAACAGGTGCGCATATACACTGCAGGTGCATTTTACTGCAGCTTTCTATTGCATCATGCTACTAATAACAAATGTACTTGAATGCTATTTGCATATGCTGTTTTTTGCGCATTCCATTTAGAGTACATCATTTGGAATTAGTTTGTCTTATTTCATTATATTCTACAAAACGTACATGAATTAAAAATGTTTGCGCTCAGGACAATGTCAAGCTTCCTTCATACAAGGCAGAAGTTAGCTCTCCAGGCATGTTATATTACTCAGTGGTATTCAGCCAGTCAGCCTGAAAATGGAGTGCGTTGTAGGTCATTTAAGAGCATCAGTACATATGTGCGAAGTGGAACCGATCAAGCCAGCCATAGGCTGACTTCCATGCATTAAACATGTTCAAACAGGAGTGACATCAGGTTCTTTAATTGTTCTGTTATTCCTTGATTTTTCTTTTTTGAAACACGGCACTGGCTCATATAGAAAACCTCTCTCCTTTCTGTCATCTCTAAGTCCATCAGTTCTTGTCATAGGTTTTGTGTGATAACCGTAGAGGGTGCTTTGTGTCTCACAACATTAGGAGAGTTTGGACACATTGACTTTTAATGGTGTTGTATCAAGATTAGCACTACCGTGGAGGAGACAGAATGTACATAAACATAGCTTTGACAAGGCATTGAGGTGCTCACGTCATGAAGTCAATGTGTTTGTTATTGGCCATCATGGTTCCACCCGCTGTAGTCCATCTGTGCACCGGCAATTTAAGCTGTAATAAAAGCATTGCCCCTCATGCAAGGCCAACACATGGACCCAATCGATCTGGTACTCCAAAGAACTGTGATAATGTGCATATATCTAGGACTTGCATGTGCAAAGAAATCAAGGGGTCTGTCATGCAGGCAACATCCAGGTTGTTTTGCAGCCATTTTTTTTACAAGGGGTCCTCACAGATGCACTGTGACAAGGACCATTGGCACATAAAATGGTGTGGATGAAATAATGTCATATCAAAAAATCCCTGTTTACAGTAGTTGTGAAAATTCTTGTCTGCCTTCCCCTCCTGTTTTTCCTGCAGTTGTCCTGTCTTGCGTCTTGAACCCCTGCCAGAATTCGGGAACTTGCATCGATGGACCAGAAGCAACTTACACCTGCAGCTGCAGTAATTTGTATGAGGGTGACAACTGTGAAATAAGTAAGCATTAAGGAATATGTTGGCCTGCACCTTCAAGTCATGATTTTTTCTTAAATGCAGTTTTTCTGCAGCGTTATGTTATTGTTTTTTAATTGAAAAATAGTCAGTTAACGTCAGATTTTCTTACCTGAAAAAGCTGCCGGGGGTGGGTTTTGTTACCTGCGAATTCTTCATCTTTGGCAATTGCACTATGACCCAGCCAAGCGTGATGCATTAATACATTAACTGCAGAAATGAAAAAAGAGTTTTTAAACGAGTGTACACATCCTCCATGGAACAGATACGGTATATTATGTGTTAACACGTCATCTGGCGTCAAGTGGTCATAGGTGACATCCCTTTTAGGTTCAGTGCATTCAAAAGTGCCTTTGATTATATAAAAGATTGTCCATGCTTTTGGGGACAATAAAGGGCACTGTTCCTGTGATTTCAGTGAGGGAAGACACTGGTGGGTTCATAGGTTCTTCTGATCAAATTGTGAACCCAAAATTTGCTCAATGAAAACACCTCTGAGAAAAGGTCACTCACTTGTTTATTGCCATATACTCAACCAACAATGAATCACCAAGGAAAAAGAAATGTAGAATGGCAAAATATGAAAAATCTTAGCATTTTGGGGGGCACAAATCTGTGCATTAAAATTTTTTCCCTGGAAAGACTTCACAGTTTTGTTCATGAATGTGGAAATATACACAAGCATAAAAACCAAAAAGGCACCAAAACATATTGTAGAAAAATAGCGAAAAAAATTCTGAAAATAGCCACTTGGTGCCAGGGTTTCCGGTACCAGATTCCTTGGGTTTGTATGCATAGCCGGGCTGCCTAAAATTGGACAAAGAAGCTGGGCCTTGTAACAAAAGACCGTACTCAGAATAAAAGACTGAGCTGCTGGGAATTACCGTCATTTTTCAGCTGGCATTAGCAAAGGTAATCCGTCATTGTTTTGAAACAGTATACCACTGTTTGCCGCATTATCAGCACCCACGGATTATCAGCGTGGGTAAAAGTGCTCCAGCATTCCAGCGATGAGTGATACAGTATCCCTACATACTAATCAGGCCGCATTTGAAAAGACACCACTGCCGTTCAGCTATGCACTGGGCCAAAATTACACAACACCGCACAATCTGGGCTCTCTTTACTTGGCGGCCGGACTGGCTGCAATACTCGGGCGTCAGTGGAGGTTGCCTGTCAGATTAGAGTAGCCACCAGATAGACAGTCATTCGTGTGGGTATAAACGTCCTGTAAACAAAGATATGAATTCTTGAAGAATTCTAAAAACAGAAAATATTGAAAATTGCCCGGGAACTTGTCCCACATATTCAAATTCCACCTGGCAGGAAGTGGATAAGGTTAATTGAACTTATTTTCAAGGATTATGACTCAGCCTGATTGTGGTTGGGTTTAAGAGATATCAGAGATCTTTGAAAAGAAATTTGTACAGTTCTCCCCAAACTTACTCAAACTATGTCCTATGTATTCCAGCACATGTATGTCAACACAGCCCGGGCACACTGGTTCCCAGGGCACCATTTTGCATTTGATAGGTTTACTTGGGGACAGGGAAAAGAACTTGACAGCACAGCTCTCTTACAAGGCAGCCCCGTTTGAGCTGCATGCATTACCAGGGACTGTACCTCATACATATTCATGACCAAGAGCCCACTTCTTACTGGTTAATTCTCCATTATGTGCCAGGGGTGCTATGTGAAGATCCACAATGCATTTCTTATACACAAGTACGGTGAACTATTTCCTTGTCAATGTGGGGAACAGTAACTGGTCACAATATAACATTGGTCAAATGCGCGCTCATGAGTACATCTAGTGAGATTTCCTGATCAGGTTGCCAGAGTTCACAGGTTGCCCTCAAAAGAAAAATCTTTTATAGAGAAAGCAAATTTTACTGAGCTACACTATTCAATTTTCTCTTTTCTGTCCTTCATGCATTTCTCTGTACTCTCACAGGGAAGGATTACTGTTTGACAAATGATCCCTGTCAGAACAACGCCACATGCCAAAATCTGTTTAGCACTGTTGGAATTGACTACCAATGTCTCTGTCCAAATGGCTTCTTTGGACAAGATTGTGAGCTAGGTGAGTTTTCAACTTGGACTCCATCTCAAATCTCTCAACCTGGACCCAGGATCAAGATGCTATTCTCTGTAGCACTTGCCAGCTTCTTGAAAGTGACCCATGCCATTTTTTTCTAAAGTCATGGACTAAATATATCACAGAAGCAAGAGAACAAGACAGTCTTTGTTCATCCACTTTTGTCCAAAAGTAACAATGTTTTGTCCAACTAATGAACTCCAGTGTAAAGATTGACCCAAACTGCAATCAAGAAAATACTTCTGTAAGAATCACCTAAGACATTTGCCACTTTAATTCACTTTTGCAGTCCATAATTAATAATTAGTTAATGGAGTGAATATAAGTTTCAAAGGCTACGTTTTTCGACTTATAAGTTGATGAAAACTGGAATTCTTCAGAATGAATATTTTCCCTCTCTTCTTTTCTGCCTCTGCAACGTGTTTCCTTCGTGACATTTTTGTTTAGAACACAACAATTTTTATTACTATGAAGATAGCATATGGTTAAATGAGTTTTGTGTGTGTGTATGCATAAGATGGTCATACCCCTTTTTGTATTGCACAAAAAACTGTGTGCATATAAACCCTCTCACCACTTTTTTCTGTTCTACAGATATCGACGAATGTTACAGCACCCCTTGCCAGAATGGTGGAACCTGCCGTAATCTCATCCACGAATTCCGATGTGACTGTCCTTCTGGTTACGAGGGCATCTTTTGCAATATAAGTATGTTCGTTTATTCCTAATGAATTCCAGATCGTAAATGTGACTGTCAGGGCCCATTTACACAAGTGACTGGTAACAGAAACCAGAGCGGTATGCAAACCAGTATTGTAATGACTTTCCACAATGACAACAGTGCCCTCTAGGAAGAATCTAAGGCATTACGTAGAGTGCATGACAGTGCCGGCCGGTCTGTGACATCATACCCAAGGAAACTACTGATTGGCCAGCACAATATAAAAAAAATTTCAGTTTCCTAAATGCGATGGTTTAATCATTGCCCTACTGACCAGCTTGGTCTACTTTCAATGCCAATAATCCCATGGGAATACCGTGTATTTCTATCTTTTTTTGCAAAGTGTTATTCCAGGAACCCTCCTTTTGCAGTAACAGTCAGTCGCAGATAATTAAAAATCCCTTCTGCTTGATTTGCCACAGTACAGTGACACGGATCATTTGACTTTGACTGATAGGTCAACTTTGTCAATAATCAATCTTTACCTAGAAGGGGTAATGTTTGTCTTATAAACCTGCGTAAATGAGCCTCTTCTGTTGACAATATCAAAATAAGCACAGGTTGAATTCCTGAGTTGTCATTAATCAGCGGGGTCGTGGCTGAGCACTCTTCAAGTTGCAAGTTTACCACCAGATAGTTGAAAAGCGCAGAATGCACTTACATTTACTTTTTAAAAAAGTAAAGAGTTTGGACAGTCAGAGTCTTGTAAAAATTTACACGTTATTACAAAAAATTTCAGGAAGTATTTACTGAGTACATCTCAGGTACCCCCGTTAACCCTTACACCTTAAAGTGTATGTAAAAATCATAGGATTCGGGAGTGTGGGGCTGTACAGTATTTCTCAGCCAATTGTTTCCTTCCGTCGGAAACTTTATTTGCTGTCTACTGTCATTGTCTCTCTCTATGTTTGCCTGGAATGCTAAGTATTTGGTGGTGAAAAAAGCACTCGAAAAGTACTTGACAACATCAATGCTAACCACCAGTGTTATGTTTTAAAATAGATTTTGCCCTTACAGTGAGGAGTACTCTTGGTGTGGTCCGAGAGTCACAGAAAAATTACAAGCTTACTCAGGTGAGATTCGAACCCACAACTTCCTGCTTGCTAGTGTAGGTGTTGTGGTTAGATGTCTTGGAATCCCACCCGAGTAAGCTTGTGGTATTTTTGAAACTCTCTGACTACACTTAAGATACAGTCTAAATAAACACACCAGTGTTAGGGCAAAACCTTGTACAATGCAAAGCTAGTTGACGTCACTGATCAGTGTTACATATTCATTACCTTCTCACTGTTCACAGTGAGTTGAACATCATGAAGATTTCTTGTCAGCCGAGAGAGCCTCAGTATTTCTGAAGATTACATAGTCTTGCCACAACTTGATATTTTGATTTATGCAGAGCCTCAAAGTATTTCTCTGGAAAGTGATAATCTGAGAATGTCCAGAATTTCTATTAAAACATACGTTGGAATGTTGAGATAATGGTGTAGTACATGCATTGTGAGTTTTGTGAATCGGAAATCACTGCATGCGTCCATGTTTAACTAAGCAATTAATTGATGTTCTTGTTGATTTCATTTGAAATTCACTAATGTTTAACTCATTTGTCTTTACATTCTTTCTATGACAGACATCAATGAATGCATGTCTACACCTTGCGAGAATGGAGGCACGTGCATCGATGGCAATGATGGATACACCTGTTCCTGTCTGCTCGGTTACCAAGGCGACAACTGCGAAACAAGTATTTCAGATTTTTTCACAAATTTTGTAATAAACAACTTGAATGGTATATTCCATAATACCAGAGCTTGAAAAATATCTTACCACAACCCTTTCAGCCAGACTCCAATTTAAACCTGCCAATTGCTTTTCAAGTATATGTTCATAACCAAAGCTAGACCAAGATATTAAAATGAGGGGGAAGTCCAAGTTTTCTGTGACAATCAAAACAGAACATCAATCTTCCTCCTGTAAAGAAAATACACGAAAGGTCTGTTTTTTACTGCATATCTGGAACACTGCGGAGTCATGTGAAATTAAATCATCTAATGAGATTGGCTACATGAGGAACCATTGAAGCTCAGTGTGGATTCTCTGCATGGCTCCAGTTGCCAATAAACTCAGTCTATTTATCAAATTATTATAGACACAGTGTATGTACCTGCTGCAGAGTGGATGCAGAATTCCCACCCAGGTTAAGATATGCAAATTGAGGTAAAAAGTCTTGCCCATGGACACAAGCAAGTACAAAATGTTTCTGAAAGGCCAGAATGTTTGTCCATTGCAGTTTGTCCAGATGTCATTGCAGTGTACGTCACTCAGACCAACACTGACCATTTTCTCCTCTTCACCAGATATCAATGAGTGTGTGAGCAATCCATGCCAGAACAATGGAACATGCATGGACCAGGTGGCTGGCTACACCTGCAACTGTGCCATTGGGTGGGAGGGCGACAACTGCCAGATTGGTGAGTTGCTAAGCTGCTGGGGCTCCATTCAAGAGTACCCCCTCGCTGATGAGGAAGCGAGAGACTGTAGGTCGAACCAGGAACTCACGGCACCACTCTACATTCAGATGAAAGCTGGTTCTGCCTGTTGGTCACAGTGTATGCTCATACCTGTGGACGGACGTATTGTCTGCACTGTGTACACTGTCTTGGCTATGTAAAAGGCATGCCCTCTCTAATCTAGGCATCTAGCCCATACCAAGGGAGTTGACACCATGACCCTTAACCGCTCGCTTCACACGGGATGACTTGTGAACAAGTATGGACTGTCTATGCCAATAACATAGGCAAATGTGTAAGCATGTTGTAGGCAGACATTTTAATTTACTTGTGAGGTATGTAGTCTCGCTGGGACAAAGTGAATAGGTCACCAGTAGGAACCGAACATCAACTGGGCTACCACCCTCCTTATCTAGGAGACGGACCCCTGTCCTGAAAGCCAATGATGTAGACCACTGTAACAACATGCATATTTTGTGGGCATTTGGTACAACCAAATAGTCAAATATTTGATCCATAGAATATCCAATTATTTATATTGACTTGACCTTAGTCTTTACTCATTCATTTTATTTTGCAAACAAACAGGCATCGGTTGCCGTTTGAACTACAATATGCGGGAGTGTGACATGGTGGAAATCAACAGTCCCAACTACCCCAGCAACTATGAAAACAATGCCGACTGCCAGTGGATCCTGCGTTCGGAATCCGGCAACACGCTGACTGTCCTGATCACCAGCTTCCAGACTGAGATGACCTTTGATGTGCTGGAGATCGGCAACGGGGCTACAGTCACCCCGCAGAGTGTCATCCAGCCGTACTCAGGTGTGGTGGACACGACCACACCCATCGAGGTCACCTCGACGGGGCCGGCCCTGTGGATTACGTTCGTGTCAGACAATGACAAGACACAACAGGGCTTTGCATTGACTGTAAAAGACAACTGTCCACCAAGTAAGTCTGTACACCAACGCGCTGCTATAATATCTAGGGTCAAGTTTGCATATGAACTATAGTTCGACCAGACCAGGCCTCAATTCTCACATCAGTCATCATGGTGAATGACTGTTTATACACTTATTTTCACATGAATGGTTCTGCCAATACTGATGAATTAAATCAGTTGTTGATAACCAGTCGCGCAACCATGCCCAAATGTTTAGTTTCAGATGGTTGCTCAAACCAAGCGTCCTTTGGGTAACATTGGTTGAACTGTGGTTAACCGTAGTCCTCACTCAGACTTGCACTTGTTTTGTGTGTACCTTACAGTTTAGATCACTTGAACTGTTTGATAATTTGGCTCATTCTTCCTGTTCATTTCATATTCAAAAAATCACATTAACCAGAAGTTCACTTGATATGAGCCTTTTTGAAGCATGGCAGACACAATATGAGGGCACTGTTTGAAATGAGTAATTTTGGAGTCAACACAAAAGATTTTACCCAAACCAGATAGCGCCCTCCTATTGCGTCCATCATACCTCAAATAGGCATCGATGGATGTTCTTGTGGTAGAGGGTTTTTTTTTACTGTGAGTCACACAAGGAATTACCTTTGCCTGAGTAACGAATACTCGGCTCAGTGACTTGATTATATTGAAACCTCTGATTGCAATTTAAGATCCTGACCAATTTGAAGGATCTTTAGGTCTGGAAGCCTTCAGGGTCATGTGAACAAATTCCTTCCATATCTGATAATTTCTAAAACTGGGCAAATATTTCTGAATCCATCTTAGCTGAAGGCTCAGCACATATAAATAGAGAATACCTGGGGATGGTATTCGATGAAATGTTGAGCGAGGGCAGATTCTCTCTTCCCTAAAATCCCTTCTTACTATTTCTCAGGACTGTGGTAAAGTTTTAAAGAGTGTATTTTTTCTGACTACACCCCGTTGAAAAGGCTGCTGAAAACAAGCTATCTGGACTTCTAAAATTTACTTCTTTCTTGGGCCTCTCCAGTGGAGCCACCTTGTGACAGTAACCCGTGCATGAACAGCGGGGAATGTGTGAACTTGGAGAACAATGCTGGCTTCTTCTGCAAGTGCCCCACCAAGTATACGGGCGTCACCTGCCAAGAAGGTAGGGAGGGGGAGAGTGGCTCACACCAAAAGGACTGTGCCACATCAATCCAGTGCTAAGCCCATATCTAGACGGGTGGCCCTGTGGGCCATGGCTTAGTTTTTTTACCATTGTTGCCTATTTTTAAGAGCCAAAGTCAGAGAAAAAAATTACTATGACTATTGGCCGATTGAAAAGTTATAGTGAGGGCATGGATTTCTGTCTGACCAATAATTTTCAAATTACAGAAATAACAAGTCTTTATTGATTTCCTAAAATGCTACTTCATGTTAAGCATTTTGAATATTCAGAAACCATTTACTCTGTGTTATCAGTAAGGAATGCCAACATTGATTCACATAAGAATGCAGAATATCAGTTCGGAAAATGAAACAATGATGACGCATTGAAAATCTCAGTTCTTGGCTTTGCTAAACCTACAACCCTTTTGAAACATCAAATTGCTCCTTTGAGAGGTTCAGGACTTTTTGCATTTAATGAGAACAGTGCTGCTGCAGTGGATGTTATCCAAGTTTTTGTTATTGTTTCAGAGAGGACCACTCCATGTGACTCCATGCCCTGCATGAATGGTGGCTCTTGCTTCTTTGAGATCAGCACCATTGGTGATGCCTACATCTGCCTCTGCCTCAGCAATTTCACAGGGGTGAATTGTGAAACAGGTCAGTCACTCAAGAGATCAAACTGTTTCTAGATTGAGGGAGAATATTGGCCAAATGTATACAAGAAAATCTAAGGGGCTGTATTAAATAAATTATGAATTTTTCTCAATGTGCAGTGGACAGAACAACTTCTTGCGGTGACACTTGAGTGGTCCACTCCAGTGTTTCACTCCATTCAGCTGTGTAGGGTGTTCCCTCTGTTACCTTATGAAATTTTTGCCGTTGCACCTATGAACATTTTTTGTTTTTGTAGCTTCCAACTTATCAATAGTGTTTTCAAGAAGTGACAAAATACTCCATCTTCTGCACAACGGACGATTCAAGATAACTGCTTTTGAAAATTATTCCCTTTTTATGACACAGTTTTGACTAGTTTGTTGTTACAGATTTAGGAAATGTTTGCAAGGTCATGAAATGTATGTTTTGTAATTGTAGAAAATTACATTAAGTTATTATGGAAATATTTTTACTTCATGAAAACGGAGCAGTGGGAAGGCCTTTATTATTTTTTCCCATTATGGTGTACAGAGTTTGCAAAAGTTGTTACATTGTTACATTTCAATGCCATTTGTGTGCATGTATACATCCGCGTACTAACTCATACAGAAAAGTGTGTGATCCAGTTTTTCCCCTCCTAATGAGGTGTCATTTTGCCACTTCATGAAATCAAAGAAACACAGAGAGTGAGCTTTTTGTCAAGTGTTGTTGAAGATTAATAAGAAAGTAAACAGCATTTTGCTTCAAAACTCAAGATCATGCATTCTGTAATGTAGAATAAATTGTATGTTGAAAAATGTTTTCCACATTCCCAAATGAATCTGCCAAGAGTTGTATGTGAAATTAACCGGTTGTAAGGTCCTGGCTAAAGTCCTTATTATGTGAGGTGCAGGTTTACACAGTATACTAGCAGGCCACTAGACCTGGTCGATTGGCCATTAGATTGGCCATCTAATCCCTTCAAATGGCCACCAAGTAAGTGTGACTTACTTCTTAGTTGGCCATCAAATTTGCATGGTAAGCCAGCTTTTGGCATTTCAAATCTTCCTGATAAGCCACTGATGGCTACCAAGTCTGCTCATTTGGCGTTCGATAGCTGAGTGCTAGGATCGAACCACCTCACAGCCCTGAATTCTTCATTATTTTCTACACTCTGTGAGAGGCTTGAGAGAGTTTTGAGTCAACAAGGCTTGGCCTTCATATCAGCATGGCAGGCCCTGATAGAAAGGCCAAAAATGGCCCTAGCCATGGCAGACACTTTGTGCCTGACATCTTTTCTTGTTTGTAATCATCAACATTGACATTCTCAATCTGACTTTCATTTCAGATTACATTCCCCCTCCCATGTGCACGGATGACTTTTGTCTGAATGATGGTACATGTTCTCTTGATTCTAACGACAAGAAGGTGTGCAGTTGTGATGACGGATTCGCTGGAGAGCGCTGTGAAAGAGGTAGGCCTGACAGGGGCATGTCATGTTTTCAATTAGTGATGGCTCCCACATGTTTGAATGTTAAATGGCATAGTGAGCGAGGATTGTAGATTTTGCTCCGACAGGTGATTCAGGATTATCTGAAACATTTAAGAACTTGCTTTAAATTTCATTTTCCTGTTTCCGATCCTGGTTTTTCAGAATAAAAGTTAGCGTTATTTTCATTGGTGTTTGCTGTTGTCTCTTAGTGTCATGCCCTAGTAACACGTGCGAGGAGAGTTCCACCAGGGAGTGTTTTGTGACGGCCACCATGCAGTACCTGTGCTTCTGCAATGATGGGTACCAGGGACTGCGGTGTGAACAAGGTCGGTGTGCTGGCTAGGCTAGCATAACATCTCTCTTTCAAAAAAGCCAAACGTTTTGGATAAGGATGACATTTGTTCCAACTCTTCCGAAATGAGTGCGAAGCTAAGTGCTTCCAAACAGCCATCAGTGACACAGACTGCAGAGCGTTTTAACCACAACATCTGCCTCACAATGAAACAACTGTGGTTCGGGGGGCTTCTTCCAGCTGGGGGATGGTGGAAGGTGATTCTGTCCCCCCCCAAAAACAAATTATAATAAAAATTGGCTGTCTTTGACCTGTTCAATCTCTTTGAAACTTGGCATGTGTGTAAGGATGTCCACGCTGAATGTATTTGTGAAGTTTCAGATCGGACAACGGGTTTTGGTTTTTTTTATAGGGCACACACTTACGTGTATCATTCTTGCACATTGAGTGTTTATTCGCGGTAAAGTTGACCTTTGTGATCACTGATGAACTAAATCCCCTCAATCAAATCTGCTCTGTCAAGCTAAAGTCTTAAAATTCATCAAAAAAGGCCAACTCAAATGTGACCCAGTCTATCAAAATGGATCTCAAGTCAACACGGTCTTTCTAGAGTGGAGCCCTCAGATTTTCTTATCCGCATAATGTCCATTTTCCAAGGATACCAAACTAAGCGAAACGTCAAACAAAGGGCACGGTTTGCTCTTTGCAACGCAACCTTAAACCAAATTACTGGGAAAAAGATCAACCTCCAGACTTTTTTTGTGGGAATCCCTTCACAAATTTTTATTCTGTTGTAAATTTTTCCTGACTTTGATCATGTACCAGCAAGTGATTTTTAAACTTTCATCTTGATATCTCATTTCTCCCCAAGGTCCATGTCCTGACAATTACTGCCAGAACAATGGAACCTGCGTTGTCCACAGCAATGGCTATGGCTGTCTGTGTCCTCCCCAATACATTGGTGCCACCTGTGGGACTGGTATGTTTGCTGTCTAGAAAATGACTGGAAAAAAAACAGCTTCACAAAGGACCAGACTGTTTCTCTGGTCCTTTGTGAAGCTGTTTTTTTTATAAATAGTGGTGTTTTTTTTAATAAACACATTGACTTACCGGCCGGCTGGCTGTACAGTTTCCTGGTGTCTACTCCAACGCAAAAGTACTTCTGTTTCCTTCTTAGGAAAAGTTTTTGTTTTGGTGCTGATTTGAGATTTTATTTATCAAATGAAATTTTGTAAAATGACAAACTTTTGGAGTGTCTCTAGCTTTTTCCCACAGTTGTCTTCAGGTCCATACTTATTTGCTCTTGAGCCAATAGCCACAATTTGGTAAAGTGTACTCCCACTGTTTATCAGAAATTGGTTATTCAGAACTGAGGTTTTTCCAACAAATTCAACACAAATAACTGATATTAAAAACATATTTTTGAGAAATAGAGAATAAGGAGGGTCTTACCCTATTTTAGGAAGAAGTCACTATTGGGACAATGCTTGTTTGAAAGCTCTAGAATTTGCTTGTGTTTTTGTATCGTGGACATTTACTGTGTGGCTTTATACCCACCCACAAGTGAACAGTACTGTGTCAAAAATTGTGAACCATTTGTGTCTCAAGGCACATATGCAGTGCATTAAAGAAAAAATGCTGGAAATCAGCATCGCGCAACTGCACTGTCCAATTTTGTTAACAATCGTACGGTCTATACCTGTCATATATCTTGTATGACTTACGTGTATCTTGTCTGGGTTGTTTGTTTAAATGCAGAGCTGAGCAGCTGTGCCCAGATGCCCTGTCTGAATGGTGGAATCTGCTCGGAGAAATCGGGAACCTTTAATTGCACCTGCCCCAAAGGGTTCTCTGGGATTATATGCCAGGATGGTAAGGTTGCCAGACCAGAAGAAAACTTTGGTTCTCCAGGTCACTGGGAAAACAAATTTGGATTTCACCAGATATCTTGGATTGACCAAGGGTGAATGAGGGGGGGAGCAGAGCTTTGCACCCCCCTGAAAAAAATCAGAGCCCCCATTTTGGTTTTGATTTTTTTAATTTGAAATTTTTTTTTAATACGAAATGTAACTTGTTGGTCAAGTTTAACTTCTCCTTCTACAAGCGTGTAAAATCCCAAATATGTGGTGTCACCCCTCAGAAATGCCATAAAAAGTTACATGAAAAAATTTCCAAATTTTTTTATGGCCTCCCCTAAAAAACAAGTTTCCCTCCCCCTCCAAAAAAATCCATGGGTCCATGAAAATCTGAAATGCGCATACAAGTGGAAATCTGGGATGATTTGGGAAAACCAACAAAGATGTTTTGAAAGAATTTTAGGGTCAAATATTCCTTGGTTAAGTGAAAAAGTTGAATCTGTAATGGATGTAGTCAGTTCATTAATTTAAATGGCATATTTTGACAAGAAGTCAATTTTGAATGAATTTTGAAATATTTCTAAGATAAAGACCTTGCTGTTTGTTTTTCGTACTTGCAAGTTCCAGCATGAAGTTATCATATTTTGAAATCTGACTACTCAAATGACAGGAAAGTTTAAAGTTTGAAGTTTTTTAATAAAAATACTTTCACTTTGAAGTTTTTACTGAACAATTTAGAAACCACTAAGATTACAGAATTCTTAAAGTAAGAAAACTCCATGAAAATCCCCCCATGTGGTTTTTTCCATTCTTCATTTTCTGCAAAATTCCTGGTTGGTTTTTAACCCATCACATCACAAATCACAAAAAAAGACCAGGCTTGAATTGATGAATTCATGGTTTCCTTTCTTATAGACCCCTGTTCCAACCTTGATTGCCAGAATGAGGCCACATGTGACAATAGTGTGCCTGAGGCACCATCTTGTGTTTGCCGAGAGGGCTTTGAGGGCAGCAGATGTGAAACAAGTAAGATTTCCATTGTCATTTTGTCACAGAATGGTTGAACTAAAGTCCTGCCCTCATGTGTGCAAGGACAGTGAAAGACCTCATATATCTGAGGACAAGCAATGGTCTCATAGTCTTGTGTGAATATGTAAGGGCGAAAGGCAGCAACTAAATAAAGAGGCCACAGCCTCATGTGTGAGGACATACCTGATCTTGTGTCTGAGGACAGGTAGTCACCTAATTTGTAGCAACCTGAAAGTAGTTATTATTATTTGAATTTCTCCACAACATAAGTGACAGTGTACTCTTTTTTTGGCTTGGGGCAAATAAAAAATGAAACGTATATGATGTCGTGAAACATTCGAAGCGAAATTTGGTTAATTTGAAATCTGTTTCAACTTTGCAAATTTGCGACATGAATATCTGATCAGACGTCATTTGTTTCCTGTGTACATGTGTTCACACACTGTTGTCCCATCTAGGATCAACTTATGCTGTGAATTCATGACTTGTTATCATTTCACTTCAGATATCAATGAGTGTGTCAGCAACCCCTGCCTGAATGGAGGAACCTGTACAGACGGAGTGGCTAGTTTCAACTGTACCTGTGTCACAGGCTTTGGTGATATCGACTGTTCAGTTGATTTAGGTGAGGCTTTCCCGTCATATTGGCCGTTATTGCAGATGCGGAATCAAAGAGATCTTTTTTACACCGACTTTAGAACTGACTGTGCTGGATTTCTTGTCCTTTTGTTTTGCATTTCTGAGGTTCCAAAATGAGTTGTAATTCAGGTGTTATCTTCCAGCTTGAATTGTACACAGCACCCTGTAGGGATGCAGACTCCATTGCACAGATTGTTAGAATAAAATCTCCCACAAGCTTCACAAAAACTGGCTTTACGGGTCCAATCACCCCATCCTTAGATGGTGAGGTCATGGGACAGGGTCCCGGCCAGCCAATGGAGTTTTCTTATCCTTTTTGTACACCTCTTTAACCACTTGCTACCGGGGAGCCCCGTTTTGAGCACCATGGGCATACGCAGAGCCAGGCTACCCAAAATCGAACAAAAGAGCTGGTCCGTCTAACAAAAGACAGTACTTGGAACAAAAGACCTGCTGCTGGGAATTGCCATCATTTTTCGGCTAGCATTTTTCGAAGGTAATACCACTGTTTTGGGTGTAGCCTGCTGGTGGATTAGCACCACGGACAAAAGTGCTCCAGGGCCCCATTGATGAGTGACATAGTGCCAGTGCATGCCAATCCAGCTGCGTTTGAAAAGACACCTCTCGCATTCACTGGGAACAAAGGAAATTACGCAACACCTCACAATTCTGGGCTCTCTTTACAGGGCGGCAGGCCTGGGCTGAATACTCCGGAGTTAATGGAGGTTCCCTGTCAGCTTAGAGTAGCCACCAAACAGTCACTCGTGTGGGTGTAAACATCCCTTAAATGAAATGATGAATTTTTGAAGAATTTTGGAAACTGAAAATCTTGAAAATGGCCCGTATGTATGCATTGCATTTTTAAAAGCACCCAGCAGCAAGTGGGTAACCCTCTTCTATTTTTGGAAACTATTTTAAAGATGAATCTTGTCCATTAGTTTTTAATAACTGAAGGTGTTGTTGCTGTAATCTCAGTTAGGGAAATCACTGCTCATTTCATGTTTTTTTTTTCTGTTCAATTTGTGAAACCAAAATTTACTCAAGGTTTGCCCATTGGTTCATTGCTATTCACCTAAGCAATGAATCGTCAAAGGAAAGAAAGTTTAGGTCAGCAAAATTTAAATATCTATGTAAGAATCAAAATGACATGTAGCTTGTCTTGCCAGATGATATCAGTTTTTCTAATAAATATGACAATGTCATCAGCATGAAAACCAAAAAGTACAAAAAGACTGTTCCAAATAGCAAGACAGAACTGAAAACTTGAGTTTAATGATACTCAAAGGTGCATTGACCCTTTAAATTGTGGATGATTTGGCAGTATTTGAAGTGAGTACACGCATAAGCTGCCCACCTGTGCCCACCTGGGCACCTTTTTACCTTCGCTGCTGGCAATTCTGAAGCTGATGACACCTGCTCGTTTTAGTGTTCATTCAATTCATAGTAGCAAAATGTCTCACCCCAAGTCCAGACTTTGAACAGCCTGAAACAGATTTTTGTATCATGATGCCCTTATATGGAATACTCATGTCATTCTTATGCATACTCCCCCCTTAAGTCCACTTTTGCCTCCTAGCCCCACCCCCAATCCCTATCCTCCATTCATGATGTATACGCCCAGTCAACTTATATAAACTCAAAGCAGCTGCTCAACAGCAGAGAAGAGACAGGGTAGTGTGAGGCACACATGCGAACATTGTACATTTGAACAGGAATCAGTCAGGGGGCTTGTGTCCTGTGCAGAATTTGTATGCTACTGTGCATACATACGGCATTGTTTCCATGTACAGACATGCCCTCCAGTGTTTCTGCACAGATCTGGATATTTATGGTAATTCTGTTTGCAGAGCTCTGTGTTGGAGGCCGTTCATGCTTGAACGGCGGAACTTGCATGAAGGGCACAGGCAGCACGGACGGGGTGTGCATCTGTCAGCCGGGCTGGGAGGGCAGTGTCTGCCAAATTGGTGAGTAGTGGAGTATGACCAACAGACAAGTCCAATGCATGGCAGACTGTGCAGTTTAAAAAGTGCCCAAATTGTAAATTTGTGCACTTTGTAAGCATAAAAGCTTTCAGTATCAACAATTAGTAACAGAAATGCGAGTTTCATGATATGCACGTACGAGGTTCAATTTTTACAAAACCACGTATATGCTGAACAGTCAGTGTTTTGCAGAGCTTACTTCTGTGAATTGAGCATGTTATAAGGTGCAAGGCCACAAGTTTTTACAATATGCACCTTTCCTGGTAAACTTCTTTACGCATCTCGTGATTTGTAAACTGTATCAAAACACGTTTTAATGAAATTGGCAGCAGGTAAAACGCTCACGTTACTACAATATTGCGAGATGCATGTCATATTAAAAAGGAAAGTGACACATTGCTAGGGGCACAATTAAATCAACCATAATCGCCTGGGTGTATTTACCTTGGAAGATTCCTGTACAGACCACTCTCATTTTGCCTAAAATCTGTATGGGTGGCCCAAGTTTGTAGAAACTCACCCTTTGGTTGGTGTTTTATTTTACGTCAAATTCCTTCAGACTGTACATTTTGTCCCATTACATTTAAAGAGGATTGTATTTTCACTTAGTATCCATTAGTGCATGTGTAAGCTGTGTGGAATTTTTAACTCTTTGTGGGTTGTTTTTTTACATTTGTATTTACAACCAGTCGCAGTTTTAGCAGCCACTTGTAGGAAAATCATTACCATAACATAGAAAGAGTGCACCCTATTCTCAAATCCATGCAACTACTACTCTGTATTGATTAATCCCACTTTGTCCTGTGTTTATGTATCGCTGTCCGGTGCAGATACTGATGAGTGCGCCAGCAATCCATGTCTGAACAGCGGAGTGTGTCTGAACCGTTTAAACATGTACAGCTGCTCCTGTCAAAATGGTTTCAACGGGCCCAATTGTGAGAACGGTGAGTACTGACAGGTTGCTCCAGACCGAGTCTGTACTGCCTTAGATGTGCTGTACGGATGAATCTTTCTTCTCCGGCACTGGTTGTCAATAAAATTTGGGGAATTTCTAAGGACTGCCTTCACTGAGTTAAATCAAGGGGAGAGGGGGATATTGGAAGGGACTTTATGCATTTTATCAACACATGTACGTTGTTGGGTAACAAAGTGCCAGAGTTTATTACAAACTTAAATGTGTACTGTGTGTAAAGAGGACACCTCATGAATATCACAGAATACATTATTTTGGCATCACAAAATGGCATGTTGGGGTGCATGCTCACTTGAATGCATAATGGAATAAGTTTGGTTTGCACCATCAGACAGGCAAGCATATAGTAAACTAGTCCACGTTTGATGACGTCTTCATTACGTTGCTAACAATGTTCAGGGGATCCAGTCGTTTTTTACAACACTTTTTTTTCACACTTACCTGACATATATAGGTGCCGAAATTTGTTCCCATGTTCCTTTTGTCTAGAATTATCCAAATGCTAGGTTTATAATAAGTAAACATGTCCTTAGGTGATGTGTTTGTAGAAAATATATCACAATTCCATACTTCAGTCGTAAACATTCCAAATGAACTTCTTGTGCGAAGACCTACTCATGATTAAACTGGCAAAGCCGTCTCTTGCCGGAGCATGGAGGCCATGCTGTCACCGGTGTGACAAAGACTCCTGCCCCCACATAGAACTGACCAGCTGTGACCTTTATACCCGTCTACCTCTCTGTATCTCTTACCTCTCCCCCCCTAATTACAACAGAGGTGTCCACTGCTAGACCTCCCAACGCAGCCTCGACGTTGCTCCTGGAGCCCTGGTGGATCGCCCTCATCTGCCTGATAGGGGTCCTGTTCATCATCTTCATCATTGTGGTCTTCTGCACCATGAATCGCAACCACGTTGAGAATGAGAAGAGACACCTCGTCAACCCCTAGCTCAGGACATAAAACAATCAGCCGTGAGCATTTTGCTTTATTTTCCAGCAAACACGAGCAATGCGGTGCACAAAGATACCAGCAGTATAAGTAGCCTTTATTTATAACTGCATTTCAGTCATAAGCACTTATTTGGTTTTACCAGCAATGCATTTAATCTCAAACCAATAAGTGAACCATCCTCCTGCTCTCTTGCAATTTGTAGTCAAACTGTTGAAGGAAAGAGATGTGTGGAATTATCAGCTAGAGATCTTACACTCAATTCCTGCACATCTTACCTGCAATAGTAGTTTCAAGAAAAGTGTTTCCTTTTCATTGTAAAAACTTTCAGCGATTTCTTAAAGGTGCATTTTTAATGATTACAATCATAAGAAACACATATATCGAGTGAGACTTCTTACAGAAATTTTATGGCTGAGCCATACTAAAGTGTTTTACCAGTTAATATTGTAATGCACAGTTTTATAAAATTAAAGACATGAAAGTTGATGTTTTAAGATGTTTGAGACGAACCATCAATTGTCACGACATCAAATGGCGACTACTGGAAAATGAACAAACTCCAGGTGTCTTTAGTGCCCAATTTCACTTGACAAATTGATATGTGGAGTCCTCGGGTGATATGTAAAAAGTACAGGAGTCAGATCAGTAGGTAGTGATTGCTACAAAGGAATGCGTTGGTGTGCAGGTTGGACTTTCAAACTTAGCATTTGAACTGGATGAAACAGGATTTGATGGGAAAGATTGAGGATGAAACAGGAGAAGTATGTTCCATATGATTGAACTTTCCACTTTTAGCTGCATGCATGTAGATTGGCAAGGTCTTTTCCATGAGTAATAAATGAGTTTAGCTTGGATAAAAATATACGCATGTAGTGCATGTGTGGTCAAAGTATGTATGCTCTTTTTCCATACAATCATCTTTCCGTCTAATCGTTTTCCTGAAGTTTGAATTTAGTTTAGTTCAAAATAATATGCCCAATCTTTAGAAGCTTAAATGAAGATCAATCTATTTGCTGCCATCCTTGGCAAACCTTGGCAAAATTGCATTTGGGGGAGGGAATTCAGATAAAAGTGAATCTTTTTGTGATGAGGTGTATATCCGTAAAAAAGAAAAAAAATGGAAAGGTACACTGTAATTTCTACTGCCAGGTATTAGCTCTGTATTTTTTTATTACGAAAATATGCAATGAAAGATTTTAAAAATATATATTACTGAAGCAGCATTGTAACATAGATAGTGTTGATGAAATGTTTTGACCCATGATTTTTCCTTTTCTTCTGTAAACATATTTTTATGGGTATCCTTTATCTCATAAAATAGTCATGCACCATCTTGATGATCCTCTCATTGATGGAATTGTCCAACTTATTACAGTGCCTGTAAAGTGACATTGGAAAGGGAGCAATTACTGCAGAGTGACAGGTACATTACTGTGGCACCAGTTACATGGGATGAACCACGAATAGTTTTGTGACCACACCAACCCCTGGATTTCATATTTCTGGCAATTCAAAAGAACTATTTGGAAAACATCTTTTGCTTGTTTTTTGCATCATGGTCTGTCCGTAAATGCAAGGTCCACAGGGACACACACGAGTAGAGCTGTTGTGCATGACCCTCCATAACAAGAGCACTGACCTGAAAGATTGGTACCCCGTGTATCATCTCTGTTAGACACTGTGGATGGCCCTAGTCTGGTCTGATGTATAGAAAAAAGTGCCAGATATTTTGAGCAGTAGTTGGTGAGGTACCTCTGTTGTAGAAGTGGGAATTCCTAATGGAAGGTTCACATTTCCAGATTATCTTTGATTCTTCAAAGTGGCCCTCTTCAGTGGTGATCAGCACTTTGATAACTTGAACAGAATCACCGTTTTGCGACAGTTATCCCATACAAAACCCCAGTAGAGCGCTTTCTGCCTTTAAAGGGGGCATCTCACATGTCACCGGATAGACTTCCATACAGCTTCATGTCATCAGTGTCAAAATGTGTGTAGCGTTAATATGCTTTTATACATGAACATGTAGAGTCTAGTGGTTTATTGCATGTGTATGAACAACCAGTTTTTTCCACAACCCAGATCTTAATAGCAATTGGTCAGTTTCCAATACTTCAAATGCTGTCACACTTATAAAGAACTATATTGGCTGAAGGGTATATTGGTAACAGGGTTTTTATGTAAAAGATTTTATATTTTGAGAATGAATCTGTACTTTTTTTCCTCTCAAGGCCCAGTACTTCAACCATTGTCTTTCAAAAAGTGAATCCTGCACAGCTTGGGTAAGAGCCAAATCTCAAACCACAGTGCACATTTCACTGCAGTAACAAGTAGAGAGATTTTACCGTACATGTAGTAAGTCATTATTCGCTGCACAGCTCAAACTGGCCCAACCCCCTAAGGCCATTTTATACTTTTGGTGAATCTGAAAGCAATGGAAATTCAACATTCGGGCACGTTTGCATCTAAATTTTGTTCAAGCTATAAAAACGTGTTCAAGTTTTGTAAATTCACAGCTCGAATATTTGATCTGACACAACAACATTGCATTTCTGCGAACGTGTCTTTACTCTCTATTTCATTCAAAATTTCCCAACTCGAGTAGTTTGGGCGATACAGGGAATAAAGAGACAAAACTCAATTAACATGTGGCCAGAGTGTGGATTTTTTTTTCTTCCCCGCATTTTTCTTTCACTAGCATAAATTTGAATTCAGTGCCATGATTTATGTGACTTTTGAATTTGTGCAAGACCATAAACCTGAATTGATTCCCATCAATGTGTGAGCAGTTGTTTCAGGCATTAGCTGCTTAACCAAGATGTTTTGATTCTGCTTTTTATATTCAAAGTACAGGTTCTGCACGTTAGTGGAAAGTCTGTTTTTGTTTCGTTGTTTTTAGTACTTTTTCTACTTATTGCGTATTTAATGCTCAATAAGAATACTGTACTTAGTGCATTATGCTCCAATTTCAAAGGAGGTTTTAGAAATTCTTGTAAAGATGTGTACATTTTTTAGTCGTTATGAGCATAGATTTATTTGAAGTACAATTTTATACAGCTGGCACTCTGAGAAATAAAAATCAAACTAGACTTTTGTTGAAATGAGTGGCATTTATTTCAGTTGTGGCTGTAGAAATTTACATGGAACTAAAATTAACATATGTACATCTTGAAAATATGTATGACACAAAAACCGTAAACGGGGGCCATGGAATTACTTTAGCAGTGTTTCCCGTATGGTCCTCTAAATTTCTACAGGTATTTCAACTACCTGAAACATGTTGCTTTCGAAAAGACAAGGTACAGTGTAGTTTGAAACGGCGGAGCACTTTATGCTTTTGCAAAGTTGTTATTCCCTTGGGCAATCAAAAGTGGATGTCACTAAATCTGTTTGTCAGTTCGGATGTCAAAATGGACACAAAGTTTTAATTTCAAAACAAATCACTCTGTTCTCAATCCAGTCATACCGGTCCACAGTGACACACATGAAGAACAGGTTGGGACAAAAATTTTAAATTATCAGGCAAACAACTGCAAACAGTGGTAACGACGAGATTAAAGTTGCAGTTTTCTGCATAGGTTTTGTACATGTTATTAAACAATGATTTTGGATCGATAATGTTTGGCATCCCATCCTGTTTTCAAGGCTATATTCCCCCCCCCCCAAAAAAAACACCCCACCAAACCCAGCGCTCTCTATATAGTGTTGTGATTGAGTACTTCTTGTCATCTTCAAGTATCAATATCACTACCAAATATTTATTTCACTAGTTCAGAACAAAGCTGTAGGACATGAACATATGAATATGAATGGTTTATGTACAAAGGTAAGATCACAAAATAAATACATGTATAACATACCAGACACAAAAGCTTGGCAAAAATTTAAGGAAAAGGAGAAAACTTCCTAGTCAAACACGTTTTTGTACTTTTGTCCTTGAACCTGATACAATAGTCTATACTTATAATCTTACTATCCAATTTACACATTCTCCAGTAAAAACAAAATGAAACTAACAAAATCCTACGTATCGGTAGAAATCCACGAGAGCACACACACAACGTCAAATTGAACCAAAATAATCATTTACATTTGCCACTCACCAAACTGGCCTCTGGCATTTATTCCCTAAAACACTGGAATCATTGGCTAAGTCAATTTGGCAGTGGCAAATACACAACTCAAATACACAAAAGTTAACCAATTTTTATTTTTATGTATACCTTTTTTACATGAGATATTTTACTTTTGAAAATGTGCATTTTGATGTTTGAAATTTTTTCTATTCCAATGAGAACACCATTTAGGCTATAAAAATGAAAGAACTAAACCCCACTCATTGCTTGGAAAAATGACAAGTTAGGAAAAAAGTGGTCCTTAACTTTTTTTGAGTAGTACATAAATATGTCAGTCAAGAAAGCATCATTATGCGCCCTCATAGAGCATGACTTTCCCTAGCTATACTTTCCACAATTATGTTTCTTAAGAGCAATAAGCACATATAAAATGATTAACATCAAAAACAACAAAACAAAATCAATACAAGAAAAGAATTTCTACTTTACTGCCTTTATTTAGTCATTTGGGATATTTGTAAGAGAATGATAGGTGTAGGGAAAGTGCGACACAGACTGGTTAGCATCGAAGTCACTCAGTGAGCAATTTTGTGGGATGTGCATGCAGACAATGCATGTAGAGATGAGATGTGATTGGCTGAATGTTGCCCAGCATTGCTGTGTGCATGACGATCTTCCTTCTGAGAAAGTCATCTGGTTCAGTAAGAAACCATACTTGACAAGAGGCAAGATCTGTTGAAAAGAGTGGGATGAAGCCCAGAGCTGCTGCAGACATGGGACGGAAACCAGTGCACATTACAGCTGCGAAAACCGCTTGGCCCTATACATGTCGGTCAATAGTGAAGGGGGCACCAGAAAGAGACAATGTTGGACTTGAGGGACAGAAACACACACCTTCTGCAACAAGTAAAAGACTTCAGTGTTCCTCAGAAACAATGATCTGATTTCAGGGGGGTGAAGATTGTTTTCAAATTTAAACATTGGGATACCCAGATGATATGTGTATTTTGAAAATTGAAAGGGCGTTTAGTTTCTGGAATCCACTCATATAATACTAGGTCAGCAGCCAAGTCTCACTTTGCAAAGACAGGAACTACATTTCTTAAAACAATTTGACATCAAGGCCCTTTGCTCTGGAATAAAATCACCCCAACACCACACTTTAGAAGTATACATGGTTTTAAGAAGTTCTTGAAGAATATCCTCCTTTCCAGTGTAATATTGTTTATTTACCCTGTATTGTACAAGGATTTAGTGTACATGTATACATCACATTTCTATTGTGCATTCATATCTTTAATAATGAAGCAGTCATATTTAGATTTGTGTTCTTTCCTAACATGTTATGACAATGCATATCTTTGCTTAATTCCAATGTTCAGCTGTACCTTCAGTTATTTTGTGTCCTTTACTCTCTCTCTCTCCTCTACCTTGTAATTATAGCCACATATTGATATCATTGTGACAGATGAGGAACCAGACCATGAACAAGCATTTGCTTACTGTCTGGTATACACCATTCATTCTGAAATAACATTGTTTCTTCATGTTATGTGATGTATGGAAATAAACCAAACCAAGTAAGACAAAAAGTGACCAGACTGTGGTGTAACCACCACTAAGGATGGTGTTAAGTGCTACACAGCAGAAACACAATCATTCATGAACAAACTCAGGTCTTTTGAGAGCATCCCAAAGGTGATGAGAAACTGGCAAGACACCAACCTGCCAGCCTCCCAACAGGTAGAACAGCAGCCCACACCAATGATGAGCAATTACGTCTGTCCCAAATGGAAGATGGAGGAGCTCCAGAAAGAAGAGAACTCAACCACTTCAACTGATGCGATACCCAAAGGAGGTGCCAGGGGCTGAATCTTTGAATCTTAGTAGGGCTAAGGGAGATGATTGCTAAAAGTGCTGAAGACACACTAAATACATTCAAAGCAATCCTTGATAACATCTCATCTATTTGTGATTCTGGTTCTTAAAATTTGGGTTTGCAGATTCTGGCACAAATAAACAATGCCTAGAATGCTAGGGCAGCAACTGAGGTACAAAATTAACGATTTATGATAGGGCCAGTCTCAAGTTTTTCAAACTTGGGGTGATTTGACTGATGCTGTGAAGGAATAGGTTGAGAATATGTGGTCTACGTTTACTTGTGTCTGTAGCTAGGACCATTAGTGACAGTTTAAAGGTTTTGAGAATGTGTTCTCAAAAGGCGCTCAAGGCTGCAAAGCTGCTGCTGACCCAGGCAAGTATACGTCTGGAATTTGTGGAAGCAAGATGGCAGTCCACTGAGCACTCTCCACCAATCTGCCTCTGTTCATCCACTGAGGCGATGCTTCTGCTCAAGGCAGACTGACTGATAACAGCAGGTGCAAGACCGTAGTCCCAGAAATGGTAGCATTCAATAAGAATTCAAAAAGAAATAAGCAAACTGCCTCAAAACTTCATCAATGACCTAAAAATGGACAACATCTTGGTCCACGATGTTGGGGGTTCCTGCTGTGATTGTATTATTGACATGGGGTTGTGTACACTGGAGAGCTATCCTCGGGTATGCTACTTCACCCTGGCATAGAAGGCAGGATGGCAGCAATACTACGTGCACATTGCCCCTGAGCTGGTTGAGGATGCAGCACCTCAGACCCAACTGAGTAAATGTTTTTCAACTGGGTCTGGTGCTGCATTTCATCGCTCTCTGGGGCAGTGTGCCTGGCCTGATACTCCAAGCCAGTTGATGTTTGAAGTGGGACCCCAGAAGCGGCCATCAACAGCCATGTTGTGCCTCACGATGGCTGGTGTTGTGTAGTAACTTTATTTGCTTCTCAACTAGAAATTTATTTTTGTGACAAGAGGTGACAGAAATGAACAAATTATGAAGCATCAATGAAGAAAACAACTTTCTGACAAGAACTTACAGATGCGTTAAAGTTTGCCAACACACTGAATCTTTCTATTTCTATGTACAATTCTTTTTTTAGTATTCGAAAAAGAAAATGATATCTTCATTTTGTTTCTTGACTTTACCCATTTTGAACAGCCTAATAACACTGAAGACAGTATTTCACTTGTGCTCTTCCCGAAAAAAGGACATGTATATGCCTGGATATTTAATACAGTAATGTCAGGCCAGAAAAATAAAGGGAAAGTGCTGTTCATGATTTTAGTTGGAGTGAGCTTTAAAGTGTATTGCTTTTTCTCCAATAACTGTTGAAAAACACACCCTACCATTATTAAAGTACTGCAATGTCATTTCAACTTTCAACTATTTTGGAGGAACAAAATTGAAACCTCATAATGTACATGCAGGCACAAAGGCTTGTGCAGTGAGAGATAGCTGTGGATTTTGGCAAATTCCACTTGATGAGAAAGTTCAAAACTGCTCACTTTCAACACACCACACGGTAGATTTCGATTGACAAGATTGCCATTTGGCATAAATTCAGCCAGTGAGCTATTTCAGAGAACAATGACAGACATATTCAGTGACAGAGAAGGTGTTGAAGTTCTTGTGGATGATATTAAGATACATGGCCAATCTAAACAAAGACCCTACCGGAGACTAAAGCAAGTCCGGGAATGATACCATTAGAAACATTTTCGTCTCAACTCAGATAATTAAGTACCATCTTAATCAGACTGAAAGGACATACATGGGACATATTGCCTCCAACAGTGGACTTAAAAAATCCCCAAAAGTAGAGGCCATCACAAACATGGCCTGGCCTAAAAATAAGAAAAGAGTCCAAGTACACCATTTGTCAACATGGTGTCTGCTATGCCAACTCTGCCATCCATTCGAAGCACGCAGTGAGCCCTGACAGCTCTTCGTTTCATGTGGGAAAAATGGATAAAACGTTTTGAAGGAGAAGTGATAAGATTCAACCTCACCACAGGCGAGAGAATGCAAGCACTATTTCTACATCACAAATGTATGCAACTGCAAACTATGTGTTTGACACACTCTCAGAATGACAATGAAAAAGTGAAAGGGGTACTGACAAATC